ACTTGCCGCCGCCGCCGCTGTCGTCGTCGTCGTCGTCGTCGTCGCGGGGCGGACGCCGTACGTATGGTTGTCGCTGCGGGGCTGGCTGCATATGAACTTAGACGCTTACTAAATAAAAAAAAAGGGATAATGTCGCTTGCTGTGTAGCTTGCCGGGTGTGCCTGCGTGCGTGCGTGCGCGTGTGTGTGTTTCGAGTTGTGAGGGTTCCGAGTTGTGTGAGCCTGCAGGTGTGTGTGTTCTGATTGATTTTGGGCGTGTTTGCCGGTAGCCAGGGGTGGACCGTGCACGGCCCGCGTCTGCGTGGCGACTCTGCTAGCGCTCGATAGGCGCGGGCGCGGGGGAAGGATGGGGGGGTCCGCCGCGTTGTGCTGGAGGAGCCCGGCGGATGCGCGACTTGGGCAGTTGGCTCGCGTTGCTGGATCTTCGCGACGGGCCCGCTGGGTGTCGACGACGCGGCCTGCGCGAGCGCTCGCGGCTGGTAGGCGCGCGCGCGCTTAGCGCTTGGCCGTTGGCGGTTGCGGAGCGCGGGGCGCGTGCGCGGGCGGCTAGTTTCTAGCGCCGGCGTTTTGGGGGACGGAGACGGGGACGGGAGGAGGCGAACGAAGGAATGGAGGAGCGAGCGAGTGTGAACAGGCGAGGCGCTACGCGTGCGGGGGGCCGACTCGCTCGAATGATGTGATACAGCGGGTGGCTGGCTGGCTGGCTGGTTGTTGAACGTTTTGGGCCGTGTGCGGGCGGTCCCCAGAGGCAGTTTGAGGTTTGGGGCGTGGGCGGCCGTGGGGCGGGGAGTCACTGGCTGGGAAAGAAAGGAGTGTCGCGTCCGCGTCCCCGCTTACAAGGTCGGCTGCGACCGCGAGCGTATGGCGAGGAGGCGGCGTGTGCGGCGGCGCGCCACCATTCGGCGCTGCGTGCGCCCGCCCGCGCTGCAGACTCTGGCCAAGGGCGGGCGGCGATCGCCACATCATCCGCCACATGCCACACGTCCGCATCGACATCGCGCACAACTGCCAGCGCCGGCGGCGCCCCGTTCGGCAACTGCGCGCACCGGCGAGATGCGCGGGAGGGCCTGGCCTGGGCGGGTGCGTGCGGGGGGTTCCGATCCAGGACGCTGCGTCCCCTGTCTGTAGACGGTGTGACTGAGCATGCGGCGTGGGCCATCTAGTCGACTCCGTCCCGCCGTCGACGCCCCTCCCGAGGCCCAGTGCGCGGGGGGGGGCCGTCTCGCACTCTCGCTGGTGCCACACACACGCTCGACGCGGGACGCGTGCGGTATTTGGGTTTCGAAGCCGGGCCCCGCAGGCAGAGGCTGTCCCGCGTGCACGTCTGTCCATCTCTGGTGGCCCGCATCCAATGATGGCGAGGACGCGCGCCGGTGCTCGTCTGCCAGCACTAGCCCAGCCGGCGGTGCGTCTGATGTCGTGTGGCGACTGTTGACTGGGACGGGTGGCGCGCATCCGCTGATGGCGCGCACCGTCCTCGCCCGCGCGCACTGCACCGCACCCTGCTACAGCAGCTATGAGTCGATCATGCGCGCCGGTCAACCACAAGTTCATCATGGCGCACGAGGGTCGGCGCGGCGATGGCCATATCTGCATGTTCGGTGCAGCGCCGTCGGGCCAGTGCGCACTCACTCGCAGAGGGCCCCCGGCGGATCCCCACGGGCGAGTCCACTGCTACTGCTCGCGGAGGCAGAACAGCCGACGTGAGCCCATCCCGACGGGCGTAGGTGACCGTCGCGCGCCGTCGATCGCATATCCCGACGGCGACGCGGACACGTCTATTCCGCCAATGACCTCACGCGGGGTGCAGCCGTCCAAGGCACGGCGAGTGTTCAAACGTCCACAGACCCGTCGGGACCCCGCGTCCTATCAGCATCCGCCACCCCGATACCGCGCACCGGGCTATCTACGCCAGGCACCACCACGCCCAGCCGTTCCCGGGCGTCGCTGCAGCGTGCTCGATACCCCCACGGCCGTCTCATCCTGCATGTCTGACGTCGACCGCTGGAACGAAACGGCGCGCAGCGTTAGAATAGCCTCCTGGAAGCCTACAGATCCTGGCGCACACCTGCCGCGTTCTATCGGGAAACTGGGTCATTCTGATTGGCATTCGCATGGACGCACGCCGCAGCGGCCCTCGGGCACCAATGGGCAGCCCCTACTGTGTACTCGGGAGCGCGGCTTCGTGTGCCAGGGAGCTTTGTGGCGTCCACGTTGCGCGACTTTGATGCACCGTCTCGTCAGCTGCGAAAAGCTAACGTGAGCTCCGGTTCTACGAGTGCGAGGGCGCGCCTGCGAGCCCGGTTGATCAATGGTCCGCTCGACAGACGACAGACGTATCTACAGCAGCGGCCGCGGTGCCCCCACCGTCCGCCTCGTACCCCACCGCCGCGCCGCCCACCGTCGATCGTCTGGGAGGGGACGGCACGCGTCCGACGACCGCCCGGAGCGTATCGAGAGAAGTGCGTCGAGGGGCTCTCTGGCCCCGCCCGCGCGCCTGGCCGGGCCACTCGACGGCAGGGCGTCTCGAGATGCGGGGGAGGCACGAGGACGGATTCGCGTCTCCGTCTGTCTGCGCCCACATCAGCCGTGGTGGTGATCATTCCGATACTCTGCCATTCTACGCCCCTCCCCTGCTCGCGGCAATAGTGCGCGCGTGCGCGAGCTGAGTGGATCAAGTGCTGCTCGAGGGCCCTCCGACATCACGTCGGACGTTGGCCCTGGTGGCGTCTCGACACGCGTTTCTGTTCTCCTGTCTGCACATGCATACTTGCGCTAGACGACCTGCTTGCTGGGTGGTGCTGCCAATGCCAGCTGCCAGAGCTTACTTGTGGGTGCAGCGACTTTGACTCACTCATAGCCTCGAGGCCCGGGGCGTGCCTCGCCTAGTCTGGGGTGTACAATGTAAGCGCGGTCCAGTTATAGACCGACTGCACCCGCTGTGCCGTCCCATCCCAGACAAGCGTGAGCTCGCTGTCATTTCCTCTCTCCATCGGGATGTGTCCGAGGCCAGTGGCGGGCTAGCGCCGCGCTGGAGCGATCCGGAGTGGATCGTCTGCGTTTCGGGCGTGCGAGAGCCGATCTGGCGGCGCCCCAGCTTCTCGAATGGAATGCACTCGGGAGTCTGGTCTGCAGCGGCCAGTGCGCAGATCCGACGCACTGAACGCATGAATGCCCCGTACTTCAATCGTGCCCGCACAGCCCATCACCTCGCGCCGCCCAAGTGCCCCGTTCCCTTGTCCGCATGCGCCCTCTCCACGATCCGCCTCCGCGCCCGCCCCCCGTCCGCGCAGGCAATCCGGGTCTGTCCAGTTTGTCCCTCTTCCTGTTCGGAGAGGCAGCTCCGAGGGAGGACGAGGAGGCCCGACTGCGAAGGCTCGTGCGCCGTCGCGTCGCGTCTCCCGGAGGCCACCGGCGCACGACGCAGTCCCCAGTCCGAACATCCTGCAAGCGCTGCTGCTCGCACTCGCCGCCCCCCACTACGCGACCCGCCGACCCCGCCGTCCGCGCCGTCGCGTCCGCACCCCGCTCACGCGGCGTCCACCGCCAAGTGTTGGACTACGCACGGAGACGCAGCGTGTCCCGCTCCGCCATATACGCATGCTAAGAGATAAGATCGACGTATGTACGACAAGCACAGCGCTGCGCGATAGCATATCTGGCCAAAAAACACACACTCTCTCTCATTTGTGCTCGTACGGCGCACGCAGCGCGCTGGCACAGCGCGCGCGACCAGGGAGCGTAGAGGCGGCTAGGGGAGAGTCGACGTCCGCATCCGAGCCCACCTGCTCTCCGGTGGGTAGGGCGTGGGCGGCCGCATTTGCCTTCAGGTGCCGCTCCGCGTCCCCCCAAGCGAACCCGTAGTTGCTGTTCTCTGGGACCACGATGCGGCGCAGGTTGGGGAACAGCTCCGAGAGCATCGCGGCCACCTCGGCCGGCCTGTCGCGGATGCACGAGTACCCGAGGCCCAGCTCGGTGACGCGTGCGTTGGCGACCCACCCGCCGCGCCGCACGTCTCACGAGGACCTGAGCCGCGTCTGGAGGGGCACGGACAGCTTGCCGAGGCGCGGACAGTGTCTGTTGAAGAAGGAGAGCCCCTCGGGGGTGCCTCTGGGCCTGCCCTCCCCCCCCCACGCGTTCATATCGTGGCAGCTGATCTCGAGTGCCTCCAGCCGCGGCCACGCCGTCGCCATCGCCGCAAAGTCGCTGTCGTCCAAGTCGACCAGGAATCCCGACCTACCTGACCTCGAGGACGCGCAGATTCGCGAGGACGTACAGGTCCCGCAGTACCGACGAGCGCGATGCGGGGGGCGCGGAGAGACGGGTGGCGAGCCTGACGGCCGTCAGCGACGCGCGCGAACAGCTGCCGCGGAGCGCCTTGAACAGCACCTGGAACGAGATCGGCTCTCCGCCGTCCGCGTCGACCCGAATCGCCGCCAGCTTTCTGAAGTGCCGAAGCCGCGATCAGCGTCGTGCGAGCCTCCACCGTCCGATTGCGGAGGGCGATCGTGTCGACCGAGCAAAAGACCCGGCTCCGTCGACGTGGGGGGGCGGGCCGATTGTTCAGAGCTGAAGGCAAGCCGAGAGAGGCGGCGCGCCGACGACAGTTCTGCAAACGTCTCCCAGAGCATGGGCACGTCGCAGATGATCGAGAACGACCGCAGGCTTTTGAGAGACCCGAAGGACCCCGGCGGGAATGGGAGATGTTTCGGGGGCACTCTCATAAACCGGAGGTCCGTGCTGAGACACTGAAGTCGCGGGCAGAGGCGGGGCAGGGACCCCAGCAAGGCGTTCAGCGTTGAGTCGGCGATCGACGACGACAGCTTCACTTTTGTCACGGAGGGTCCGAGAAACATGATGCTGTAGTCGAAACACGAGGGCGCGCAGGCGCGGCGGCAGGCAGTGAGTTCGCGGATGTTGGGGAACAGGATGGACGGTGGCCGCGAGGCGCTGAGAGCTCTGTAGACATGGTTTGCGAGGACGACGACCGGTGTATACAAGTTGTCGTGGCCGGTGCAATTTGAGGATTCTGGCTTCAGGCGCCGGATACGACGGGCGTATACGTGGAACCGGGTCCAATCCCCGGGCAGTATAGCTCTGCGGAACGTCTAAGAAAACAAACGCACAGCGTCAGGAAGGTTGCTTGACGCAAGAGAAAATGGCATCGTACCAGAGACTTCTCGGGCAAGACATTCTGATACGTGACGCCCGACTCTTCCCATAGGTCGTCGGGCATGTACTTGACAAGGTTCGCGATGCCGGGCTGTGTATGCCATAGGATGTCTAGCGCAGGTCCGCTGAAGGCCCAACACGTCTGCGCCAACGCTCCGATGTCAGCGTAGTAGATGTCATTGTCGTCGTCGCAAAGGTTGCCCATGATCATGTTCACGAGCTCGGCAATCAAGAGAGCGCGATGCATTGTACTGAACCTCAGCTGGAGTACTCCTTCGAGTTGAATTTAGATGCAAGGAAACGGTCAAGCGGCCCAGTATGACTTTTGTGTACTTACAATGCAGCAGAGCACCCAGCGGTCGTGGTGCCAAGTTTGTCCGATGACAGGACGCGCTCAAGATCTAAGCCAAATGAAATGCGTCAAAGTCCAGAATTCTGAATTTTCAGACTTTCTCCCGAATCCAGCAGAGATTGGCAGCTTCTTAGGATTATGAGAATGACTATGTCTGACAAAAGATGGTGGCTGCTGCAAAGGATCACGACGGTGAGCCGGATCTGAAGCCTCAGCCAACTGGGATTAGTCCCTCAAGAATCAAAGTACAAGTCACTCGGTTCGTCTCTGTACAGTTGCCATTCTAGGAACTAGATCGTCTACGAACCGATCCCGATTCCCAGCCGACGAATGTCGCGAGATCAGTGTGAAGGCGGCCTCAGGCCCGGGCTCCTCGATACAAGTCGAACTTGGCGTCATGGTCTCAAGTCGGATGACGGAGGTGCGTGAGTATGGCCGAGTGCTATACTCGTGGCAGTCGCTTTCACCTGCGGATGCCGGTTCTGTAGCTGGCCTGTCGCCATTAACATCAGCGTGCGCCGTTTTGATGACTCATACCATCGTCCATTGAACGTGGCTATTCATATACCTCATAGCTGTTTGTTTCCTTTTCTGCCCTCATTATGTTCTTGGCAATGGCCTCGCTAGCCGAGATCATCCCATACCGAGTGCCCAAACAAGGAGTAAGTAGAATATAGGCTGGCACTCTCCCAAACTGTCTGTCGCCTAAAATGTGAACCGTTGCCTCGTGCTCAATTTGGCATGCTTTAACACATTGCCATCGTTTCATTATAATTGATTGTGCCAAGACGACGAAATGGCTAGTGGTGTTGACAGTACCTCCCGATAACTGCGTTTCATTGGCTGACATCTTCACATAACAGATCACGTTCACAAGGTATGCATTGTATCACATTCCCACCTCTCATCGTTCTGCATACATATCACTCATAAACTGCAGCATGCAGCATGTTTCAATTTCCCGTCAAATTGGATCGAAGCGGCGATAGAATACCCAAGCGTCCACAAACTCTTCGCCGGAGCCGTCGGCTTTTTTCAGCCATCCAGCGCGGGGAATGCGTCCTACCTTCGTGAAGTTTAGAGCTCCCCAGAGCCTATTCGATAATGAGTTGTGAGTGCCGTGACGCGAATACCGGTCTACGTAAAGCAAAAGGATTACCCATTCAGATGGGTTTGTTACTGCTCAACATCGAGAATAGGCATTGGAGAGCGGTCCAGGCGTTCAGGAATATTACCGTTGCTCGTAAAAGAATTCCAAGATAACGACAGAACTTACCGAACACTGGCAACGTTGTTGACATAAACCAGGTTTAACACACTTGCTTCATAACCAAGCCGAGGGGCATAATACAAGAATGACCGCGCGAAGGCGGCGCCGATGCCCTTTTCACGCTTCGAGGGCGAGACGAGGAATCCGGCATTGCATATCTGAGATCAAATGCAACGTGATTAACGCGGACGGGGAAGTCCATTCAGAAGGACGAGTTTGAAAAACGACGATCAATAGCAATTTCACCGGCAAGTTCCAAAGCCTTCTAATCTGCCACAGCTTTGGATTTGCAGTCGGTCAAGACTGGTAGTCAACACGATTTCCCCCTGTATCGACGGTTCTAGGTGCTGGAATGACTCACATGTGACGACCGACCCGGATAGTTCGGTTTGATCTACAGGTAAGCGCGTATCTGATTTACTCTCGGATTATATAACGCTGAAGTGTCACTTACATAGTAGCACCTGGCGATACATTCCTCCAGATTTCGGCCGTTGATCGCCTGTTCAATCCCGTATTGCACCTCTACAGCGCCACCGGCACTTCTCTTTTCAGGAGACGCGTCGTTGCCGTAAAGCACAGCTACCAAGACATCCTTAGGGAAGTAGTACGCCTCGAACATCTCCCGCGTGAAATCCTAGCCGGGAAGGGCATCCTGTGGGTACGTTAGACCCCGCGCAAGTTCATCGGAGAACATCATATGCAGGCAGGCGACCAATCCTGGAATGGTCGTAGCCGTGGTGAGTGTGACATGGTGCATCGCCAGAGAACGCGAAGACGCTTCGGGTTCGGCATTGGACGCAAGATCTCACTGCGTGGAAGGCAGAAGACCGGTTTTGCTTGCTCGGATCGTGGTGGGCGCGGACATCGACTGCGAAGAGAAATCGCGTTGAAGCTGCAACGGGAACCTGTAGGCTGGCGAAGATGGGGAGGGATGTTCTGCTGCTTTTGTCGTCCTTATCTGGATTCCAGAGACCATCCGAAGAAAGCGGATGCTCAACTCGAGTTGTCCCGTGGAATGGCTCGGATGCATCGCTGGTTGTCCCACGGAGTAACAGCGTCTGTGTATTACAGTAAGTTCACCGACCGATATACTTGCAATTTTACATTCGCTTCCCATTCGCAGGAATATACATCAGCCGGCCCTCACAGGCAACTTTATGGGTAAAGCGCTCAATGTAGGACTTGACAAAGCGTGTTGGCCTGCCGTCATATCACATCACTGCCCGACTTTCTGCGACACGTAGGGATAAAATAATTCTGGGTGGAGGTGTGGTGCAGATCAACGGATATGAGCGAGTGATTACCACTCGGTAGATGTCAGCGACCTCACTCAAGTTGCGTGGCGGTGGATTATGTTGTGATGACGCTCTACTAGCTCGTGTTCAAGCAAGCAGTGGCTTCAGAGTCGCTTGCGCCTGACAGAGTCGTCCGGCATGAAATACTGTGGATTTAATGCATTCGTATTTTGCGCATTACTATCAATTTCACGTTGATTGTTGATTTAATTAGCCCATCCCTCGCGATCGTAGTCAGATTCTCAATCTGAGCATCTCAGGAATCTTGTTTGTGGTTGCGGTATAACTTTCTACTAGCGAGCATATCCTTCGATGGTTGGGGCTGCAATGAATGTTTATATAGCTGGTACAATAGTCGGTGTACAATTAAAACTAAGTATGTCAGTATATTCATGCGAACACCTTGGCAAAATATCGAAATTCCTAATCGAAAAGTCATTGTCCCCGCGAATCTGTAACCTGTCCAATAACCACAAAGCCTGGCATCAGAGCTCAAGTCCATGCATGCATATCCGAGTTCATGTGGCCGCGGGAGCCCCCCTTCATTGATTCAAATGTTTCGCCATTGTGTTTGGGTTCAGAGGTGAATGTGCTGGTCTCCAGGTCATCCCGCAGGAGTCGGGCAAAGCAAACTTGGACGGTTTTATGCAGAAGGAAAGGGGGTTCGCGTTACCCCGCGCACGTCGCTTTATTCCATACGCTTCCTACTGCTACGGGCTACGAGCTATGTACTTCTGGCTAATAAAGAGAAAAACGAAAGAACACAAACAATTCAGTATCGCACAACACCAAGAGTAGCAGCCTTATTATTGGGAACATCTAGCCTTCGCTCACAAACTTGGTTCAAACACATAGCACAGACACGCGCCGACGAGAATCATCGTCAAGGATCTACAAGATGCATGTCATCAGAAGTCTTCATGCACTGATCGCAACGGGCTTCGAAGCGTCGTCTTTCTTGCCCGCGGCAGCTGCCTCCGCCTGCGCGACTGCCTTCTCTGCTAGGCTCTTCTTCTCCTCCATCTCCTTCAGTTTCTTTTCGAGCTCAGCCGCCGTCGCAGACGTTGTGCTTTTGTTGAAAACGACGCTGCGATGCTGGCTCTGCGAGCTCATCGAACCTGCTTCTGGCGTCTGCACACTGACCAGCGGCGCGGTTGTTGACAATCCGCGGTGGAACGTCGAAGGCAGCACGCGTCCCTCGGGATGCTGGAAGGGACATGTCGCTCGCGTACAGGCAGTTCCGAACTTGCATGGTGTGGACGACGTGGTGGTGGATGGACGAGAGGGATGCGTGAATGAACAGTTCGGTCGCGTACAGCCAGCCCCGTATCGACAAGGTGTAGGTGTATGCGCAGTGGGGGCGGATGTTGGCACGAACGTGCTCGGCTTTAAATGATCCGTGGCTAAATAAGGAATGTCAACCATTAAGATGTATGCCTCGCAAGAGAAGGGTACAGAAGAACAAACCATTTGGATTCAGCACTGCCGGACTGACGTGCGCTTTTATGCAATCTTTATCCTTGCAGTTCTTTCCACTCTCACAAGCCTCATTACTCAGAACGACGCCGCTCTCTGGGGTCGCAACCGGCGAAGGATGCGAATAGCGACAAACAGGATTGGTACATTTGAGGCCAAATTTGCAAAGAGTGGGCGACTGGGGTCGTTCCGGAGGAATAAATCCAGGTCGTGCCTGTGATGCGGTACTGGATGTTGAGGATGAGCTGGCGATGACGGGAGCTGGTTTCGGAGCAGGAATCGGCGTGGGTGCAGCTATAGTTGTCGCAGGTGCAGGCGAAGGTGTGGCTGCTGGTGGCGGCGACGACGAGAATTGCACGCCGTCAATTGGCGCGTTGCTTGAACCCGAGTGGCCACCCCTACCACGACCTGCTCCACGCATAGCTCCCGCTCTGCCTCTTCCACGGCCTCTGCCATTAGGACCATCCATATTGGCCATCTGCTGTGGCATACCATTGAACATTCCCATGTCGCCCCCCATCCCCGGTTGCATCGGGAATCCGCCGTTCATCATGGTCGGGTTCATGATGCCCATCGCACCCGCCATTTGGGTCATGAGCGCCATCTGGTTCATCATCATCTCCTGCAGTAAAAGCGGATTCGTCATCCCCATCCCGCCTATGTCCATCCCGCCCATAGGGAAGCCGCTAGCCATCATCATCATCGCAGGGTCGGGTGACCCACCCGTAATTGTGTCGATTCGTGCCTGAATATCGTCTCGCGCGTACGGCGCGTGTCCGTTGCGCGCCGGAGCCATACGGTCAAGCAAGCTCCGCGAACCACCGGGCCCATTGCTATCGCGTGGGTGATGGGGAGCTGGGCCGTCCCTGAGCATTGCACGGGGTCCTGTGGGCAAATCTGTTCGTCGCAACTTGTTCGCGGGACCAGTGGGTGATGGTGACCGCGCAGAGGCGGTACGCTTCTGCGCGGAAGGGGAAGTCGAAGGCAGAGCCTGCGCGATGGCCTGCTGATACAAAGGACCGCCCGAGCGTGGCGCATTTGGTGGGCGTCGGGTATTTTCAGTCGTATGTGGTGGCGACTCGCGCACGGCGGGCGTCGGTGTCGATGTAGAGGCTGTGGTGGCGGACGGAGCCTCCGACTCAGGTGCTCCCTTAGTCGCTTCCGCAAACAACCAGTCAACAAAACTGGGATCTTGATGTCGGTGTTAGTATATTCACAGATATGAAAAAGACAAAACGAACCAAAATCCGATCCTATCACTAAAATGGACGATTAGCGACGCTTCCTGCGCAAAAACAAAACGAACTCACAATCTTCCAATTCAGACAAAATTTGTGCTATTAAATCATCAGTTTTACACGATGGCACAATAAGGAACAAGGACAGACTTGGTGTTTTGTTGTTAATAATCATGATTGTGATGTATTCAGCCATGACCGGGTCTGCAAAAGGTGAGCGATATTGATAGTTTATCGCCACTAATGAACATACCAGCATCAGGACTATACCCCCGCTTCATCAGCTCATCTTGTATGGATGTCTGTCACGCCCGTTTCAGCCATTGCGCATCGAAGCAGAAGTCTATAAACAAACCTGCAAGGCAGCCGAACGTTCTGTCCCAATTGTCAGGCCAAACGCCATTTTTGTGAAATTGAATGCCTTTTGTGTAGTAATGGGGCCTGGAAGAAAATGAACGATGCAATGTAGGATGAAGCAGAGTCAGGTGGGCAAGGAACTGGAAGAGCAGTGCCAGAGTGTGGTCGCTGGCCTCAGCGAGGGAGTCAATTGTGACGACAGTGTCACGGCTTCGACACAGAACATCACGAAAGGGCCTGTCACACTTTGTCTGCTTACAGAGTCCACGCTGCTATTCGCGAATTTCCTGTAAGGGCTCTGCATTGTGCGACCCTTCCAGTCTCCGCTGCCTAACCTCCCAAGTCCGTTCACGTCTCAGACAGTAGAGCTTGCTGCAAGCCTCAGCTGCACGCACTTCGGTAAAAGGATAAACGAGACGATCCCAGGGCGACCCAGGAGGTTCAAAATATGACCCTCCAATGATCGACGTCTAAATATTCACATTCCAGCAAATGGCAGAGTAACTATTTATGAACTGCCGGGGGGGTATATACGAAGAGCACATTGGTACAATAAAAGGTATGCTGCCCGCTTTGTCAAATGGGTATGACAGTTCTGCTAATCATTATCGCGGAAGAAAAAGAGTCTGATGTTGCCTGCCTTCACACAGGTCCAGAAACGCCTTCCCGAATCAGACGGGAGCAACCCTTCTGCGCTTTTGCGGAGGAGTTTGCGGCAGCGTGGTCCATGTGGGCGTGTCCGGTGCAGCAGATCCCCCGGGTGTCGGGAGGAAGGATAACGCCCCATTTGGAGGCACGTTCATCCCACCCAGCTGTCTCGACTCTCGCTCATGTTCACGACGTGGCCTGAAAGTAAGCCGTCCGAGTCAGTATAAAAGCCCCACACTCTCGCGTACAACAGGATGATACTTACTCATCCTCCTCCCTTGCCCTTTTCTTCCCCTTGTCAGCTTTTACAGGCACCCCGCCTAGTGTCTTCAACGGCGCAACGCGGATGCCGCACACATCGTCCCCGTACAAGGAGTAGACATTCTCCTTGCGCCATGCGTGCGACCCGTCCCACAGGGTGTGGTCTTCTTTGAGTCGCCCCAGGTACAATCGCTCAACAAGCTTACGCTTGTTTTGCATCGCCTCCAACTCCTCATCTGCCCACTTGAGCTGCTTGTCCATGTCGTCAACAAGCATCTCCATCTCCGCCAGCTGATCCTTGAAGTCAACCTCTGTGTTGACCATGGTTGCCAGCTCACGAAGGATCACACGGACTCCTTTATGGCTTGCCCCCACTATCGGTTCGACGGGGAGAGCATGGCGTGGTGGAGCATCCGTCTCCGCTGCCAGGCCGCCCTGTATGGGCCTGGATTCTGGTTGTGTTTGTGCCTCAAACACAACCTGGGACCCGGCATGTACAGGCTGCGGTGGGGTAGCTACTGCGCTCAAGTGCATCGATTGCTCTTCTGTTTTAATATCAGCTACTTTCAATCATGAGCCACATAATACCCATGGCCGTGAAATCGCACTTACTCGATGTTGCTCCACGCGACAACTCCCTTTGCACCGGCACGTAAGTTGTTGGGGTGCCTGGTGCTACGCGCTGACCATATAGGGTGCTGGGTCCCGCCACAGGCTGCTCCAACATCGCTTCCGCTGGGCGTTCTGTTGGACTGTCAGATCGGGAAAACATGTAATCAGGTGCGACTAACCTCGCGTTTGTGGGTGCCCCACACGACTGACCGATGCGCTCGGCCTGTCAACAGCTTTTCCCTTTCCTCTCGAATTGCGGGATAGTGCTACAAATGAACACTGTTACTCTCGATGTTCCTGAGTACAAGGGCAAAATAGCTTACCTGTTGATATGCTGCTAATCGCACCCGTCTCCTCTTCTTTCTTTACCTCCGTCTTCAAGGTGCGCGAGGATCTGCGTCTCTCGCGCTTCTCTTCCTCGAGCCTACAAAGAACAGGTCAGATGCGAGCCCCGGCCACTTCTGAGGAGACAACACACGGTGGCACGCCACTCGGGTACTTCGCGCACAACTGGCGAATAATTGTCTCTGTCTTCACGTTAGCCCTGACTCCCTCCCTCTGAAAAACTGTTGTGAATGACAATGTTATCTGAAGTCTATTGGACATACTCGAGCCAGCTTCTGGATCTGAGGACGCGTAAGGGTGCGAAGTGTTGTGGTGTTCATAGTGTATAGGGTAGTGATGGTTAGTAGGGATACGTGTGGAACACAAGGCACAAAGGCAGGAGTAATCAGTGAGATGGTAGTTCAGTGAATGAAGGGACTCAAGGAAGTGGTTTGGTTTTATAGGCGAACAAAGCGAGCCCGCCACAGCGTTGGTAGTGTGTGGCGGTCGGTCCAAGCGCTGTGCCCACAATCTAATCTGATCACAAGCTTCTTATTGATCGAGTTACCCACATCACAAAGCGTTTCCCAAATACAATAGTTCCTTTGTGCGCTGTGGGAGCTTGTGGATTGCCATACGTCGTTTTCCTGGACGAACCTAGGGAGATCTCATATTGTAACCTTAAGTCACAAGACATTCGCCTAGGCATCTAGCAGAGCAAGAAGTGCGAGAGACTCTTAGGTACTAGATACTCATATCGCCACGAAGTGTAAGGCAAGATGGCCGAGCGGTCCAAGGCGTGTGACTCAAGCGAAAGCTTGCCTGCTTAGGCGGGTCTTCTCATCTGGGTATCCAGGCGTGGGTTCAAATCCCACTCTTGTCATCTTTTTATCTTTCGGTCATTGAGCCACTCGGCGAGTGGCGAGGCCGATCCCGTTCGGACCGCGTCTCAAACTCGAGCTCATCCACAACGCCTGTGGACGATCAAGATATATGACATTATACTGCATATGCCTGTCTGTCAATTCGCTTCAATATTGTCTCCCATCGGGTTTTAGTGAAATGTCTAATTCAAGAGTCGTCGCGAGGAGAACAAACGTTGCCGCCACGGAGCTTGGACCCTTTGTTCTAACGTGTGGCGGGTCTGTGGACCCAGGGCCACATATATAAGCGGGGTAGACAAAGGTCTATCTTCAAACTCGTTCTACCAACCTAACCTCCATCACTAACCAGCCTTTTCATATCTCTATACCTCGTTGCCCGATCTCGTGCTTAATTTCCTCCGGCTATGAACATCGTGCACTTACGTACCCTTTCTCGTGTCGAGATTCAGAAGCTGGCTAGGGTAAGTCAAAGCAGCCAATCAGGTAGTTCTGAGCTATATCATTTCCAACAGGCGAATAATATCAAGGCGAATCTCAAAACAACCACAATCATAGAACTACTCTTGGAGCGTAATCCTCCTTCGCCTGAGCCCCAGTATGTTTTATTGATTGCTCCCCCCTGCGCTTACATGAATGACCTTTGTTTCTTAGGGTTGCTGCCGACCCGGCCGGCACTACGTCCAATCTTGTTGATCGGAGTCGCAACCCAAGTCCCTCGAGCTCTCCCCCCCCTCCATCTTTTACACTGCAAACACCCCGACCTCCCTCTCGGACTGCGCATACTGCGGGTGGCCCAAGTGACAATAACGTTACTCGCTTTCTGGCGCCACATGTGCTCCCGGGGGTCTCGTCATCTTTCAATGTTGTCGATGACAAGGATTTTGTTTCCGATGTAGACGAAGATGGTCTGCAGAGTCCTATACGTCGGGCGCGAACGCGCAGTGGTAACCCGAGTCCTCCGGCCTCCGGCCTCCCTCCCATGATGCTCAAAACGCCAAAAGGGCCATCTACTCTTTCTACTCAACCCCCTGCCGCTGGATTGTCCCCACCACGGGCGCGATCTGCATCTTTTGTAGCGCAGTCTAGTAGAAGCTCCAGCCCCTCTTCCATAGCTGGCAATGCATCAGTGGCCTCCACGCGCATGGTTGAAAAGAAGCGTGCGGCAAGTGAAGTACGAATGAGTCGTAGTAAGATTTCTCCCCTCCTGCGCAAAGGGCTTTTCGAGCTGATCTTCGAACGCAGTTCCGCCCGCCTCCGAGTACGCAAGATCATTGATGGAAGCAATGAACCGCTCTTACGAGGAACATCTTCCACTTCAACCTCAGGTTCCTGCCCCTGAATTGGGTTCTCCTGGATCGTCAACGCGCCCAACAAATGGGCGGATGCCCCTCAAACAAATCTACATGTCACAGCCCCGCATAGTTGAATCGGAACGCTCTGTATCGGGAGCGCACACCACTCGGCCGACGTTCGGCGAGAATCCTGCCCCGCTACTGCCCCGCCCGAGATTCCAGTACGAGGATCCACAGCTTGACGAGGTCCCCGCGCCACAGAAAAAGCTGGAGGATGCAGTGGCGTCCATAGCTGCAGTGCACCGTACCTATCGCAAGACGTATGCTGAGGCAGAGGCGCTGCGTGCGGAGGCCGAGGAGTGTTTCAAGGAAGTAGAAGTCCTGCGCTACCGCATTGCGCAGGAGAAGGCGATGCGGTTGCGCGCAATGAAGTATTTCGCGTGGTGGCAGAACAAGAGCCCGTGGTTTACCGATGAGCAGCTGTATGATCACGAGTTTAAGACGGTGACGACTCGCGATGGAATCATAATGGAGATCGACTCAGACGAAGACGAGGCGGATTATGTGGACCTCATGAAAGCACCAGCGTGAGTTTTGCCCTCGTGGAAAAGCTTAACCATCAACTGAAGACACTGCAGGCGGTCTTGCGATAGTAAGACGCAATCAGCGCCGCTGATACCCGAAGGCAAAGGCAAGAAGTGCGTGCATATGATGTTTTATTTTTCATTGATCTGATTGCCCTGACTTCAAGGGGTCATAATGTTCCTGTGAAAGTATTAAAGCAGATGGCAGCAGCGTATGGTGGGCCTCTGGAGAGACAGGAGTCATTTATTGTGCAGACCAACAGGAAGCGCAGTCGTGACCCCGCAGAACAGGAAGAACGAGCTACTTCCCCGAGAAAGCGAGCCCGCAACGTGGTTGGCCCTAAAGCTACTGGTATTCATAGAGGCAGGCAGACGGGGATATCCATTGCTGAAGACACTCCAACAAATCCTCAAGCTTCCGGCTCGGGTGTACCGAAAAGTACAGCTAGTAGGGGCAAGAAGAGACGTCAAGACGCTGACGATCCCGAGACTGCGGGTGCTGATAGTAGGAGCAGCAAGAGGGCCCGCGGGATGCACCCAGGCTCCCCCAGCCAAACCAACCACAACACAAGAAATTCTTCGCGAGCCGTCCAAGGAAAAGGGAAAGGGAAAATGACCGCGTCCGAATCGGAAAGTGAGGACGAAGATCGCATTGACTCAGAGAGCGTTGTGGCCATCCTTAGCGCCATTGTCGAGGACGGAGAGGACGAGGAGGATGCAGGTGACGACTCCCCTATCAAGCTTCCCCCGTCTGTCGCGCGTTCTCCACGGCACACACCTAAAGGCGCGGAAAATCACTTGCCCCGCGCGCTGCATCCGTCGAAAATGAGCACGCAATCACGCTCGGGCCGCAGTGGGAGTCGTATCTGAAGTTTTTTTGTTCTCTTATTTGTACTTTTTTCAGTCTCGTATACCCGTCGCCGCCGCCCCACCAGCCGCCGCAGATGCCATCGATACCCTAACATCGGACCTTTATACCTGCTGTTCTGTCGATTTGGTGCGAAACGTTCAATCTTTACTGCTCTCGCGTACTGTAATTTTGAGATCGACAATTCAATGTTATTGAATAAACGGTTAACGTGAATGCAGAAGGCAGCGTCATGTTGCATTGCCGCCATGGCCGGCCGTAGTATCACAACGACACATAACAATATGTGAGACTCGAATCCACAGTATTTCATGGACGACTCTGCCACGTACAAGAAGCTCTAAAGCCACTCCTTGAACATGAGCTGGTAAAGCGTCTTCACAACATGAACCACGGCCGCGTAGCCCACCACCATCGCGGCCAAATATCCATAGTACTCCGGCTTGGGGGGTGTCAGCTGCAGGGCGGTGTTCAGCTTTGGGATGTATGGAATAGCCATGGAGATGCACGCCATCCCGAAGGTGACGAGGACGACCGACGTAGACGCGCGGGATTGGATGACTGGGATCTTCCCGGTACGCAAGATATGGATGATAAATAGCTGTATGGTCGGGGTGCAAACATTTACCACATGAATATCAGTAGAAGAGCGGTCATGGCGCACCTGTGTCAGTGAACTTTCGAGGAACCAGTTCGTCTGAGCAAGCGGAACGAGAGGCGAGTCCTGGGCGCGGATCTTGTAGTGGAACCTTAAAAAGGCCAGTAAGAGAAGTCAAGAAAGATCGAGCGATTTGCTTGGCCTTACCAGTTGATGCAAAACGTCGTGATGTCGAACGGACTAGCGAAGGGTCCTAGGCAAACCATGAACCTGATAATGGATTTAGCGCTCCATGTGTTTGGTCTGATGAGATATTCTGGGTCGACATTGTCCCTAAGATACACTTGTTAAATTATTTTATGGTTGCAGGAAGAGCTTCTACTCACCAAGGGATGGACGCTTGCGAGAAATCGTAGAGAAGGTTCTGGATGAGCAGTTGAATAGGGAGCATAGGTTGGTACGGCAGCCATGCGGAGGCAACTTTTCAAAATGAGCATTAAGCAGCGCCTACCAAGTCGATTTGGCTCACCAAGGAGAGAGAAAACGTTTCCAAAGTTAGATGACGCCGTCATTTTGATGTACTTGATGGTATTAACCATTCTTCAAGCGGGAACAACTAGGTAAATGAGCAAAACGCTAGCATCAGGCGGTCACGCACGTCAACCGGCCCTGTATCACACCAATCGCCACAACATCGAGACTTTTCTCCAACAAAATCACATCCGCTGCCTCCTTGGCAATCTCTGTACCCGAATCGACCGAAATGCCAACATCCGCACCACGAATGGCCAGAGCATCGTTGACGCCATCCCCCAGGAAGGCGACTGCGCGGTTATTGCCCTGACGCAAGGTCTGCACGACTTGGAGTTTCTGGTATGGGGACAGTTTCGCAAAAATCCTGCAGCGCTCGACCACCTCCTCAAACGCAGCCTTGTCGTTCGCAAGCGCGGCGAGTTGTGCGCCAGTAACAATGAGGGATTTTTCGTCGAACGCAGCGGCCTCTACGTGGGGGGACATCTCCACGTCGCCCATGCTCTTATGTTTCTCGTCTTCAACGATAGACGCGACACGCTCCGGTGGTGATAAGATGCCTAGGTCCCGCGCAACCTTCGCAGCGACAGCAGGAGCGTCTCCCGTCAGGATGCGTACCTGCACGTTGAGCTTCGCGAGCTCGCGGATCGCATCCGCGGCGTCCGGCTTAGGCGGGTCGAGAAGCCCCAGCAAACCAATGAATGTGAGCTCCGTCTCGTCTGATGTGGTGAGCGTTAAGAATGGCTTGACGAGTGCGGTGCGGCATGCGACTGCAACGAGCCGGAGGCCGTCCTCGTTCAGCCGCTCCGCGGTATCCAGGATACGTTTGCGCTCATCCATCGTCAGCTGCACGGTCGTCGACGCATCCAGCTTGAGCTTCCGCAGTGACTCGTGCTCCGGTTCGGGCGTCTTCTCAGAGTTGTATGAGTCCGAAATAGGGATCGGGTGGATGTAGACGTTCACACAGCGGTCGAGAACTTCCTCCACCGCACCTTTGGTGACAAGCAAGCCGTCGCCGTGGAGTATGCCAACCCGTGTAACGAGCACGGAGAGCAGCCGGCGAGTAGAGTCGAAGGGTATCTCGCCTTGCTTGATGTAAGCATCTCCGAGCACATCGTCAAAGACTTGTGACGTCGCCGCCTCTTTGACGTGGTCAACGATGGCACGGTCAATTGGGCTCCGTGTCCCGGTCTGCAGAAGCGAGTTAATGAAGCCGAGCTTGAGAGGGAGCGACGACGGCGCGCCTGAGCCGGTAGTGGAAGTCGCGATCCGGACGAGGTCGACGGTAAGTGTTCCTGTTTTATCAGAACACAGAATGCTGACTGCGCCAAGATTCTGAATGGCGTCAAATCGCTTGACAATGACCTTCTGACACGCAACACGGATGGCGGAGAGAGCAAGATTGGACGTCTGCGAATAGCACAAATGGGGTAAGAATGGACACCGCCGTTCTTAAGCTGAGACTCACCACAATCATTGGTAGCATCTCCGGGGTAATCCCGACGGCAACAGCGATGGCGAACATTGCTGCACCCTTCCAATCATGACTGACTGCACCTCGAAGAATGAACACGGTTGGTACCATCACCTATACGCGAGCGACTTCATGAAGGTAAAGAGCAACCCATGACCATGGAGAACGTACCGCCATGAACGCGACGAGCACATAGCTGACCTTCCTGATGCCAATTTGCATGGCATTCTGCGTCTGCGTCTCCGCAAGCGCCTGCGCGATGGAAGCCATGTACGTGTCCGCACCAGTTGACACCACAAGGGCGAGCCCACTGCCCGCAGACACGGACGTCCCAGCGAGACATACATTGTCATTATCAAGGAGGTCAAAGGCCTCACCCCGTCCAGAGGGGTACATGCGCACTGTCTTATTGATGGCCATAATCTCTCCAGTCAGGGACGCCTGCGTGACCATCAACGCTGACGAGGAGATTAAGACACAGTCACCGGCGAACACATCACCACCTGCGCGGAGCCACTGGGGTCAGCAGGGTGAAGAAGTTATGGGGGGAATAAGCTACGCACTGGTCACTGCAAGCACATCACCCGGAACTACCTTTCTCTGATCAATTTCGAGTTCCTCCGAGCCAGAGTCACGAAGACGGCGGAGGACGCGTACACGAGTGGTAACAGACGTGAGCAAATTTTGAGCCTGAACCATGGATTTCATCTCCTGCCAATATCTGCAGCGCGTCAGTGGAATCCTATTAGATAGCGAATGGTGCCCATACCTGAGGCTTGTTGAGGCGACGACCATAGCAATCATAACACCAAACGATGCCGGATCGTTGGTGACCATACTCACGATAGCCAGCACCAAGAGTAAGATATTGAATGGGTTCATGAGGGCGGCCCATAAGACGAACAATGCGGCAAACGGCCGGTGCGTAGATTGTACATTTGGCCCATACTTGGCTAGGGCTGCCTGAACAGCGTCCTCGGTGAGGCCGTCGGGACTCCAATCTGGACACAATCTGCATGGGTTCAGTGTGGATAAAGTGAGGTCGACACGGGCCGAACTCACTTGAAAATGTCTGTGACAGGAACATTCGCGTAGCTGGCCAACCTCGCACAGATAAGATCCTCTTGAGCACTTTGGGCCTCCGCGCTGCGTCCTGAAAGTTTCTCAGAGCCAAGGCTCTCTACGTCCGATCCAGCGGACTTGTCAGCGCCATTGATAGACGACCTGAAAATCCCGAAGAGACGGGAGGAGACAGCGTTTCTCATGTTGAATGGCATTAAGATGACTAGAGAAGCAAACATATAGTGCGCTCACCATAGGACCAGACGGGAGGAACTCACCTTAGACTCTTTACCGACTAGCGGCACGAATACATGCAGTGCGGCGGGACCAGACCGTCGACACCACAGCTGGCAAAGAAGAGTGACCACTCGAGTAGATAGAGGAAATTATGCCATAAATGGTAATGCTGGGGAGAAAAAGGGCGGGAGGATCCAAGGAGAGGATTTTATAGTGCCTGATGAACAGCAATGATCGGTATCAATCTACGGGACGGGAAGTTACGAAGTCTCGTAGCAGGGCACAGGTTACTTATGCGAGATGAATCTTCAGGGAGAAATTGAACACCGACGCCCGGTACTGGAATCCCACACCACCAGCTACCAGAATTCAACCGTCATCTATCGAGCATGGAAATCATTGTTCCTCTACTCATTCGCTAATGAAACTCGCACTTACGCGGGTTCGAGGCGAATGCGTTATGCATGCATAATTTGAAGGACTGTGTCCCCCGCCAGCGCACCGTTGTGCACACAAAACTCTTGCAGATAAATTCCGATAATCGAAGTGCCGAGGGCTGTTTGAGGCCCCGCTGATGCACTTGACGCACTGAAACTTGAAATTTCAGCAGCGAGTCTCAGCCTACCGAAATGTAGCCGTGGCGTCTAGCCATTAGTCCGACTCTAACCATGGCCCCTTGTGACAAAGCTGGGTTTGCAAATACAGTACCCTGAAGCTAGTATTCGTGCATTAATATATGATCCTGATTCAATGATTTTTTCCTCTGTTACACGAGCTGTACACAAGTGTGCGATCCAGATTGAGCGGCCTTCGATTGTAAACAAGCGGTCAGCAATGTGCACAGTCTAGATCTGCATACTAAGTACGATGTCTTTTTCTGTGATATTTTCTTGTACAATGCTCGTGATTCCATTTTGCATACGGATTCTCATTGCTTGATCCAAGCTATTTAGCTTCTGCTATACTCCGACAGGTCGACTGCCACTCACTGCAGCCGCATCGCGTCGGATCGTTGCCTCGCAGCTTCTGGTTCAATGTTTTTTCTTGATGTAAGATAAGGCTTGTGGTTTGCACACGTAATGACTTGTGTTGTATAGCCATCAGCGTCCTGAGGGTGCAATCTTACGCAAACCTATGTATAGATTCCCTTAATTTGCCATTATCAGACAAATCTGGCTTTGGCCTCGGACGATGAACGTTGTTCAAGTTATCGCCTATGTAACCTTGTTTGCTTGTGTGACTTATTCTAGAATCTTCTCTACGCAGTCAACCACGAGGAACACGCGAGGCGGTCAGCTGGAGACTCTTTCTGTTTCTCCATCACGACTGACTGCCATATCGAAATCGAAGTCCAACTATCCAACTAAGCTCCGACTCGATAAGAGCTCACCATGAATGCAGACGACGCGGCCTTCATTGGCATCGTTCTGCTCGCCATTAGCCTTGTTTTTGTCCACATTATCTACATCCTTCCCATCATATTCACTGTCGCAGTCCTGTACGGACTCGCTGCCCATTATGATGGCCACCAACGTCGCCGGCGCCAGAGCCACTAACACAGCTAATGCGGCGCCTGCCATCGCCCGGACCAACGACTCGATTGCCATGCATGAACTCCTGGACGCGATGCGAGCAAGCTTCGGGACTATGTGAGTGTTAGTCCCGTATCTCTCATGAATGACACGTCGTTTTTCTCCCTCTTCACGGAGGAGGCATAACATCCTTTCTTGTACTGATTTTCAATGGAACTTACATTGACCGTGACCACTGCAGTGATCAAACATTCAGAGAAATCAATGAACAATCAGTGAATCTGTCCTCAGTAGGCCCCACAATGGTGAGCCCTTCCTCTCGCTCTCACTCAGCTTCAAGGTGCGCCACAACGCTGGCGCTGCGCTCACCTTCGTCGGCAGCAGGACGTGGATGGACAGATGCGGGCGCTCCTCCAGGAAATTAAGGAGCACGGGGAGAATGAGGACTCGCGTATCAAAGATATCAAGAAGATGATAAAGGGCGATGTCAAACAAAATATTGCTGAAAACATGAAGTGCGTTTTCCGTTTAAACCAACCACAGGACACTCGTAATTGGGTTTGTGGTCTATCACAGGGCAGATATCAAAGAGCAGATTAGGAAGGAATTAGCTCTCCAGGTCCCGGAAGAAATCCAAAGACAGATTGCTGACCACCTTCCCGTATCACTCCATGAACAATCTAGGGAGTGTAAGCTTCAAATTATTGAAGTTGAGAACGCGCTGGCAAACTCGTGAGTTCGACATCTTAGTGCAGCAAACGAACCGGGAGCCTGACTTATAATCAGAAAAGCGCGAAAACTGAATTCCACGTTTGATGTCGACAACCTGGGTGACACCCTTTCAGTTGTCTTGAGGGCAGACGGAACTAAGAGCGGTGTATTCCCGGCCAATCTAAATTCGCTATTTGCATTTGATGGTAAGTGTATGCTTGACTATATGCTACCAGAGTGTGTGGCATGCTATTGGTCATGTACAGCAACCACATTGAAGAAACTTCTCGGAGACTATGACATCCGTGAGCAGGAGTCGCGGGAAATGAATTTAAATAAGTTCATTTCGCACATAGGTTCGTCGGCTTTTCGCGATGACAGTCGCTGTCTATTACTGCTAATTCTGATCTTTGCGTGCAGGCGTCCCCTTCCGCTTGGTTTCTATTCCAGCCCCTGGGGAAATCAAGAATATGCAACGCACGGCTTGAGATATCAATTTGGATGTTTCAAGACCTTGTCTGAATTTTCTGCGGATCTGCTTTGGGAGTGCTGTCGCGATGTTGTATTTGTATGTCTTATTGAGTACCAGTCTGTATATTAACCATTATGTTAGCTATGGAGATGGATCACGGCGAGTCAACTTACAGCCTTGGATAATGATATTGTTGAATCTTGGTTGAATCTGAATCGCGTCGCGTCGTGACATGTGCCTGGAGATCACGTGCGCGTTACATTTGCCCCAGCTTTTCTTCTCTGGACTGCAGCCACCAACAGCGAGAGGCCTGCGCTTTCATTTGAGTTTCGCGAACCCTCCTACTCCTACTCCTCATTTTCCTTTGCAGTACCTCTGCACGTCCTTCGTAACCATTCTCGTTATGAGTGGCAATGTTGAGTTATTGGAGCCCCAAATCCGGGACATCCTAACTGCCCCCGGGATCGACCTCAAAACGATTAGCGCAAAACGCGTGCGCCAGCAACTGCTTGACCAGGATCCTTCTTTGACCGCGGATTTCCTGAAGGAAAACAAGGACGAAGTTGATGAGCTGATAACAAACGTGTATGAACAGATCAGCAGCGAGGCAGGTCAGGCGGAAGAGGCGGAGGATGAAGCTGTAAGGGAGGAGGGAGAGGAAGAGGAAGAGGAGGAGGAAGAGGAGGCTCCAGTGACGAAAGGAAAGCGCAGAAGAAAGGTGGAGGACGACGGCGAGGACGAGGCAGAGGAGGCCCCTTCTCGACCGGCGAAGACCAAGAAGGCGCGTAAGACTAATGGCACGATGACGGACGAGGAGATGGCGCGCCAGTTATCTGATGAGATAAACGGCCGTTCGCGTAGCTCCAGGACATCGAGCACGCGCGGCACGAGGGGGAGGGGTGGAGGAAAACGCGGAGGGAAAAGAGGAGCCAAAAGTGCTGCGACGGTTGACTCGGATGGTGAGGAGGGCGAAGGAGAAGCTACGAAGAAGAAGAGCAAGAGAGGCACCGGATTTCAGAAGGAGTACGCACTGAGGTATGTACAGTGCGATGTTTTTCTTCTCATATGCATATGAGACTCAAACATTACTCCTGCACAGCGAGCCATTGGTCGCTGTCCTCAATGTGGAAAAACTGTCGCGTCCCCAAGTGGTGAAACAGCTCTGGGATTATATCAAGGGGAATGGGCTTCAAAACCCAGCAGCCAAGAAGGAGATTCTCTGCGACGACAAGCTCAAAGCCCTTTTTAATGTCGATAGGATTGACATGTTCCGGATGAACAAAGTACTTGGACAGTAAGTGATAGGCGCAGAATCTCCGCAAGGACCAATCAGACTAAGTATATCAAATTACAGACATCTACTTCCAGCGCAGTAGTCAATGAGCAATAGCATAGTGTACCAAGATTGGTAAATGCGACCTGGCTTTACTCATCATTGTTCATACTAGCGATGATCTCCCTGATTTATTGGGCCCTTGCGACAGTCTTTATTCCTCTAACATTACTTCGTTGTGCATCCGTATTACCTTGCAGATTTGCCTGCTATATGAAAGTACGAGTACAGAGTTCCTGTCACCCATGTACATAATGTCTTATTTGTACACTAATCCTAAGTATACAGGATGCATGGCCTGCAAAGGCTTACATCAAGAACATTTTCGTGTCAGTCTGGACCGTGTCATGGTCTCCCAAGCTAGGAAGGTGCGCATTTCGTATGATTGTCAGATTTCGGTTGGGGTAAGGACGCTGTCGTTATCAGCGATGATTTTGCGGGCGCGAGCACTTCCAAGATCACATACACCACTCTGGTATGGAGGTGAGCTGCGATATAGCTAAAAAAATATGTTGACTTACCTGGACATCTAGCCATACGATGCACCTGTGAGCGAGATTACGGACTGCACCTTCATTCGCGACTGAGAGGCAGCGACCATTCCCAAAAGCAGACTTTCCTCGCTCCTGTATGAATTGACGCGCGAAAGCGTGAATATCAGAAATTGTCGTCCGCGATACTCCGCTATCACCGCCAGAATGAACGAGAATACACGCAGCAGCCCGTAAATAGAGCCAGAGTGATTCATGATCGGGGTATGCTTCAACGAGCCGTTGTGCATGAACAAAGAATGTCAGCTCGCTCTTGGATACGTCTTCTTGTACGCTTTCCCGTCTGGATATGTCCTGCAGCAACATGTCGTACACGCTACGTAGGTATTGCACAGCCGTGTAATCGGATACGTGTTGTTCGATCCAAGTCCGTGTCGCTTGATATTCGTCCTGAAGGAGGCCGGAGTATCTCTTGTCTGGCGTCTGAGTACGAGTCATTGCGTTCAGGGCTTCAAGGCAGAAGAAGCCGTGAGCCCTGGCGTAGTAGTTTCTGTGGTACGTATCGCAGGCTCGCGATACGACGCTGAATTCGTGCTGTAGGACGTCGGGTGGCATAGCAATCTGTTGGAGAGAATTTCCATCGTCATCGCTGAGCGCCGCTGGGGATAGAGTCAACGGTTGGAATATCCGCCGTAACAGCCATCGACGATGGTGCCATAAAATTGATTGCTTTGAAGCATCACGGAGGGTCAAGAGAGATTCCGTGAATATCAAGTCGTGTTTGGGATCGATGAGGTCAGCTTCTACTAGGCGTTTCCGTGCGTTCAGAGCGGATTGGTGAGCGGGATTGGCGAGAAGCAGTACCGCAGACAAAGAAATCAAGGGATCCGATCCGAGGCGAGAATTGCGGTTCTTCGCATCAATTTTGAACTTCTTATACGACTGAGCAAACGGGGATATCGCGAGCATGTAGAACTTGTAGAGCACTTTCTGGGGAACGCCAAGATTGCCATCGACGAAGAGGAAAGACATTCTGGAGGATGCTAGCCCTGGCCAGATAGAGATGTCACCGGGAAGTATTTCTATCGAGGTCCTGCCAGATGAAACGTAGGAGGATAATCGTATTGTTACGTACAGATCGAGTTGCAAATACGCACGGTGGTGTATTCAATGCCATTGCCAGCTGATATAGTGAATCAGTCATTGCAAACTGATTACATTCTGGTGATACAATATCAGGGATTATACAAAAATAATTGGTAAAGTGCAAGACGACGCACAGACTGGTAGTGGAGCATTCAGTTTAATACGGCGTCCCACAAGGCCGCGTAGACCGAGCCTTCTTTGCTGAACTACGTTAACCATAAATGGAAATTGTTAGTGCGGCTGTCACCTGTTGTGACAAGTCGTGTTTGATCGCTCTATTACATGTTCATCCGACATAGTAGACTCCCAGTGCGCAATTCTAGACGCATATATCAGCTTTTCGAATGCTGAGGCTAGTCTGGCCTCTGTATAGGCAAGCGCGAATCTCACTTTACTCGGGTCGAGTAATATCGCGAAGATTCAACGCGAACATGCCGAGTTTTGAACGGCAACCACTGGGCTTCAATTCAGGCCCATTGGTCTGGATAGACTGCGAGATGACGGGCCTTGATCCGCGGACGGACAAATTGCTAGAGATAGCTGTAAGTCTATGTGTATCCAGGATGTCATGCAAGTTGATCGCTCAGTGAAGGTTCTGATTACTGACGGCAACTTGGAACTCGTTGACGATGGCATCCAATTTGTCATTCACCAAGACCTGGAGACACTCAATCGGTAAGTCCTCTCTTTCTTGTATGAACTTATAACGATATAAATTTATCAGCATGAATGAATGGTGTATAAAACAACACGGCGAAGTACGTTGACTCACCCTTCCATATTGAAACAGCACCGAGCTGGAATCCGCAGTCTGGTCTCACTCGAGAGTGTTTGAATTCACCATACTCCAAAGAATATGTGGCGCAGGAAGTGCTAGGATACATCAAAAAATGGATACCTCAAGAGCGAACGGGTGTCCTTGCCGGTAACTCAGTCCATGCTGACCGCGGATTTTTGGTAGGAGAAATGCCCGAGGTCACGGATTGGCTTCATTATCGGTAGATATCCTTACTTGTTGTGTTGTTCTACTCAGGTGAAGAATTCTGTCTTTTAGCATTGTTGGTGAGTGATGTGCGTATCAGTAGATTTCAAAGACCTCTGACAATTTCTCTGTCTGGAAGATGTTTCTTCGATAAAGGTACGAGTGCACTCCGAGTTATTAAGTTGGATACGACACGACTGTTTCCATGGTGAAATAGGAATTATGCCGCCGATGGTACCCTTGGCTCAGGATGCCGAAGGAGCTGAGCAACGGAGGCACGCACCGGTAAACACTTTGACGTTTATTGATATTCGTCAGCCTCACTCAGTCTATAGTGCGTTGGACGACATACGTGGTTCTATTAGAGGTGCGTTATGTGGCAGCACATTGACATATTCGTGACATCTTTGCAGAGCTGAAGTGGTACCGTGAGCGAATTTTCAAGCCACCCGCGCAAGTCATTTAGGATGCCTAATCGCCGTATCCATTGAGCTCCTGCTACATGACAGTAAGAATTCCCATGTAAGGTGTGGTGAACCGTTGCAGGCACGCCAAGTCTGGTTGCTCATATCTCTCGTTTTGGAACTTTGCACTAGCATGTCTTATATTGCATGCCTATATCAATTTCCCTTGTCACCTAAATTTAGTTATCCTATCTTGTTCACTCCTTCCAACTAAGGTGGCAGGTGTCCATTGATTGAGTATTTTGATACAGTGGGTGATACAGTAGATAGAATGCGCAGAAAACAGTCCACAAGTAGGTGTCACAACATAGGAGTCTACGTGTATAGGCATGTGGATGTGCGGTTATGATGAAGACAGCTGCAGAAGCAAGGTATCGAATGTGCGTAGAAATACAAAATATGAAGCCAACCATCACGAGAATACTAATTTAGATATTGTAGTTTCATCCACTCCTTGTCATTTGTGTTGAAATCCACACCTTTCCGCTTCCACCATTCGCGAGCCGCCTCTCCACCTCCAATAGCGTCCTCCAGTGCCTCCTCAATATCGCACATACGATATTGGATTGGAAGTCCGCTCTTATCCCACCACCCTAAAACATCTGGACGATTATGCTTCGTCGCCCCTGTCAATACTTCCTGATCGAAGATCAACTGCAAGCCGCTGTTCAGCCACCACTGCAAAACCTCTACCCTTCCATGACAGCTAGCGTGATATATAGCCTGCCTATCGTATTTGAACTCGAGTTGTGAGTGAGCCCACCAGTCGAGCACCTCAACGTGTCCCGCATTGCTTGCCATGTCCATCACGCGGCCAATTTTGAGTGGCAGCCCGCGCGTCGCACTTTGTTCCTTCCACCACGTAAGGACGTTGAGCTGATTCTTCGCACTCGCATTCTCGAGCGCTAATTCGGTATATTCGAGGGGAATGCCTGAATAGACCCACCAGTCAAGGGAGGCGACTTGCCCATTCCGAGAGGCACCATCAATCGCCTCTGCTATTGAAGTGGGTTTTGGCGGAAGGAGGATGTCTGGGTTCTGCTCGCGGGCATATTTCCACCATGAGAGAACGGCAGTACGTCCATACAAAGAGGCTGTAATAGGAAGGAGGTCATTTTTGAACATACTTTGGAAAAGCGAGCGGTTTTGTGTAAGGAAGTACTCCAGCACGTGGATATAGCAGAAGCGAGCGGCCAGGAGTGCGCCGCGTTTTGTGGGAGGATGTGTTGACGGATCGGCAGCGCGAATAAGAGGGAGGTAGCCAGTCAAAATGGCATGATCGCAAGCACTCGCTCGATTCCACTCGAGTGGTTCCGGTAGTGAAGTAGGAACACCGACTGCCTTCGCGAGCTCCCAGTCCCCTACGTGGTCCAGGATTTCCGCCAGGATTTCTACAGGCAGGTCCGGTGCCATTGCTTGCCGTGAGCGCTGTTTCGGCGGATCCAGGGGCGAATGTAGAAGAGGAGGACTAGTTATTCCATTCGCTTTGCCGGTGATCATGAGGCCATTCAAGGCAGGGATGAGGTGATATGTGTGGAGGTCATACTGCGCAAGGCGAGACGCCAAGTCGTTGTCTGAACCGGTCGTTGGGAGCGATCGGACTTGAAGGAATAAAATGAGCTGGTCATGGGTGAGCCGGCGGTAGGCGTCATAGACTTGATCTATACAATCGTCATTTCTCTGGTATACCATGAGCAGCAATGATGGGATACACGATATTCGTGCTGACCGTCATGGGCACAAGAGAGCTGGTTAGGTTGACAGTAGTGGGGCGATGAGAGAGGCACGAAGTTAGGGTGCAGAGTGATGCTCAACCTCAGGGCGGGGCATGAAGCACCATATTTGACTCTATTTACCAAAGCCTTTGAAGTTCAACACGCACAAACAGCAAAATCTAAACGCGGTGTGTCACACGTGTGACATCCCCATTGTGGCTCTGAATTCGCGCTCGTGGCGCGTTTCTTCTCTCCTGAGCTTTTAAAGCTTTATCCACCTTGCCTCCTGCTTCACTACTAGGTTTTATCTCCACTTCATGGCGACACCATTCTCCACGCCCAGGTATCCTGGAGCTCCGCATCCGACACCCGCGTCGTACAACTCATCTAGGAGAGTGGCGCGCGCCCCCATCCTGAACCCATACGACAAATTCACCCAGCCAGAGTTTGACTCCTGGATTGACGACATAACAGGCGCCCTCAAGCGCGCTCTTGGGAGGGAAGATCCGCTCGCAGAGTCTGTGACGGTCCCAGACCCGTTCGACGGAGATGAAGACGTCGCGGAAGACTCGTTCGCAGAAGTCGTAGCCCGGCGCGCGGCGAAGGGTAAGGAGCGCGCCGTAGATATGGGAAACAGCGAGGAGCAGCCCATCATCATTCCGTCTGACTCAGAAGATGAGGAGGACGCTGAGCAGTGGGAAGTCCCTTCCGAAGACGATGAAGATCAAGGAAGTGCGCTTAGTGCGGAGGAGGGTTCGGATGGAGAGGATGAGGCGGGCCAGCCTTCCGGACAGGTATTTGAGCTGCTCTCCGACGAAGACGAAGAGGAGGACAGTCGTGACCTCGCCATCTCGTCGGCACCAGATATGCCAGAAAGTGGGGCGTATGAAGAAGAGGCAGACCACGAAGCAGAAGATTTTGAGCCAGAGGATGCCGATTATGAAAACGAGGCAATGTTGTATGGAGGAGAGCTGCATGATCAGGTGACGGTGACACTAAATGGTTATACGGTTGAAGACGTTGATGCAGACAGAGACCTTGAGCTCAGAGAAGAGATTGATGGTGAGTTCTCGCAATATTATTGAGAATCCCCGTCGTCTCAGATTCGACAGCGTTTCCACCGGTCGATGAGCCAACGCAACCTGTTGATCTCCCGGACCCGTGGGTAGGTCCGAAGACTTACGCTGAGGACTACTATTCTGGTGGCGACATTCCTCCCGATTTGCGCGAGCATGCCAGTCCCCATCTCTTCCCAACGGAAGAGGATACTGGCGGAGAGGTTGTGGGGCTTGGTGTTCCAACAGCGGAGGATGTGCACGAGTTAGATGAGCTGAGAGAGCATGGTATGTCTTCACTGGCGCAATTGATTCTGCTCTGACATCTCCCTTAAGGCAAACAAATCGACATGGCATCTTTGAATCAGCTACCCGAATCGCGGATTTGCTCTAGCACTTTTGCGGAAGACTTGGATGCTGATATACCCACAAGCGATCTGCGAACCCAGATCGTTAATAACGTCCACGACATCCTTACAGACGAGGCGCTGACGCCTGAGAAGCAAGATCCGATGTCCCAGAGACTATGCTCGCCGGAAACCGCAGAGACGAGCATATCTATGGTTGATCCTCACATCGATGGTGCATCGAAGCAGGATACGCTGGTTGATTTTATGGGAGAACCTGAAAATGATAACGACGGGGTTCAGAGGCAGGTATCATCGAGTTTTACTCGAAGTGAGTCAAGCTTTTTCATAGGCAGTGATGGGGGCTGAATTCAGCTGTTGTAGATGTGCACTCGCATGAAGATCCAACTCTCTTTGAGTTACAGGATTCGGCAGAGGAAGACGAAGACACTGACTCTCCGCCCCGTCCATCTTTCAGCTCACATGTAGACTGGAACTGGCCACCCGCATTTGCATCTGGTCGCATAGCGACTGGAGCGGGTCATCTGAGGATAACGGGCCTTTATGACGATGGTGACTCGCCGAATGAGGTCTACGAAAGTAACGATGCCAAAATTGAAGAGGTTGAAATGTCTGCCCCGATAGTTGCTCAAAGTGAGACGTCTGTAGAACCGGCACACTTTCCTGAGCTGCCACAAGACGATTCGAATGCTCTCCCTATCTCTGGGATGGATGACTCGGGCCATCAAACGGAGATTGGTCTTGGTCCTTCCGCTGTTGCGTTTGAACAAGAGCTCTCACTGCTCATGCAAGATGGTAGGCCTGCTGTAGCGAAAGGTATGGATATTAGGTGATGGTTCCGCTATGAATTTTCTCGCTTATTCTCCTCGTTCGCAATTCCAGAGCTGTTATTGGAGCGGACTGTGGACCTTTATGCAGACTTGGATTCAATGCCAACATCCGGAGGCGCACTTGACATCACCACTGAAATGGCCATAGACGATGACATTCCTCAGCCTCTGGAGAGTGCCCTTGATGACAGCTTTTTGGAAGAGTTTCTCGCTTCACCCGAAGGGCCACCCAATCTGACACTCGATGACGACCCTGCAGCTGCGTCCGCAGATCTATTGAAACTTATGAGAGACGGGCGAACAGAAATTAGGGCGGGAGACGAGATCGATTTTAATGATTCTGCGAGTATCGCCAGTTCATCCGCGGAGGACAAGCAGGTATTGCCCAAGGTCGAGCTTCTGGTTGAGAAGACTGGGTGTATGAAGACTTGCCTCTCTCATGAAATGATACCTGATACGGACGATACCGCTGGGCTGGACGACGAGGTGAGGGCAGACGATGAGCAGATTGGTGTAGATGCAGTACCGGTGGGAGACACAATTGATGTTGTATCTGTCTTGAGCGAAGAAGTCGCTGAAATCACCGAATACGAGGTTGAGGAACCCGTTACTGAAGGCAGACGGACGGCGGTGAGCTGCACGTCAATCATAAGTGTTGCGTTCTCGGGCTGAAGTTGTATTTCTGCTTCAGGAACCTGATTGTGCTGGTTCATCGCGCTTTTCTAGCCCATATGTCATCATGGACGACCGGGAGGGCTCGGTCAAGGCTAATGTTGTTGAATACATCGTTACGGAGCCTGACGCTCCTATTTCTGCTGTTCCCTCGCAAGTTGGCGATCTGGAAGACATTGCCGCTGATGATTTGTCTGAGTCAACACCTAATGTCCCGGTGGCAGAGGTAAATATGGATGGATCCACCGAACAGGTCAGTTTGTGGTCTCTCATCATAGATAACTCGCTAAGTAATCTATTCGCAAGACAACTAACGCACAAATGGCTGAAGGAGTTTGTGGGCGGAGTATCATGGCCGACTCAACTTTGTTACCGCCCCACGTCGTTGAGGATATCGTATCACCCTTCTCTCTATCTCCTAGTAGAGCGACTGCTGAACGTTTCGCTAAGAACATCAACTCCCTTCAGAATGCTGAGCAACCAAACAAGATGGTAACTGGTACACAGCATGCATCGTCAGAAGCAGCAAGCGGTGCAGAGATGCATCCTATGCTAGCCGACGGTGTTCCAATGCCCATTTCTGCGGATCCGACAGTGCCGGACCCTGCTAGCGTCGAGCACACACCGGCTCCCGCAGAACTCGAAGCGACTCCGCAATTGCCAGCGGCCACCAATGCCTCTACTCGGGCATCTTCTATAACATCCGATGGGCCGTCCCGTGGCAAGAGCCTCAGTGGGCTGTTCACCCCACTGACAGCTGAGAATTCCCTTCTAGATTCCCCCAAAGCACGTTTACTGGATATTGGCGAGGACAAGTTCGCCGAATCTCCGCTTAAGCAGTCTGTTACAGCTGAGGCTCTCGCCGCCGCTGAAGAAACTTCCCTGCCTGAAGATTACAGTGGCCATAAGAGGAATATGGTCGTCGCACAGGATCCGAATGACGAACAAGCTGCATCTCCCTTCCTCACTCCACAAGATGCAGGTCCTCAGGATGCCCAGCAACATGACATCGACGAGCTGATTTTAGAATATCCTTCGGATTCGGAAACAGTTGGCAATCTTGTTCAATTTCAGTCACAACCTGGTGGAAACGACCCTTTCGTCGATGTGCATGATGGTGCAGATGACATCGATGCGGAAGGGGACGTGGATCCAGAATATGCACATATGGCAGAACCTACTCTCATCGAGACAAGGCCGCAAGGTGATCTACCTGATAGTATTAATGAATTGGGGCCGCAGGACAACGCTGCGCTGGCCGCGCCTACCACTGAGGAAGCATACGTAGAGGATAGTGATGTGGCAAGGTAAATCTGATTTTTATTGCCATGGATTCATCTTTAACGTCATTCGGTCCGTAGCACACCGAGAGCATCCCCAGGTCCGCCCATCGCACCTGACGTCGACGACGCGTCCGCTGAGGTTAAGGGCACGAGGGCCAAAGAGCCAGCGACACTCGAGAGTCCACCGCTTGAGAAGACTGCCAAGCAAGACGATGTTATCGCCCCTGCCCCAGAATCACCGAGACCGCTCAAGCGAAAGCGCATGTCACCCGTTCTGCCTCCTCGACTGACTCGTTCAATGTCTGCGATGCACAATGCGGGGCGCGGTCTCAGCCGTCTTGATGTGGGGAACGGAAAGGGCAAAAGCCGCGAAAATGATCACAGTGATGATGAGAACGATGCCCCTGTCTCTGCTAGCAATGCTGGTGATCGTCGGTCAGTTCGTTCCAGTCACGAAAGCTCCCGCGCGTCCTCCGTCGCATCGGCGGCAACAAGCAACGAATCCCTCATCGTCCCTCCATCTCCTACTACTACACGAACAGACCAGCAGCATCACACCCTTCCAGCGCCATTTATTCATTCCAGCGGGATACTGCATCACCACCACGGCCGGCCGTTGCATTTGCAGTTCCAGCCTCAGCCCCCCATTGAGCGCAAGCGAGCGCCATCGCCATCGCTCCCAGCACCGAGGGCCGCGGATGCGAGTGCAGAGGAACCCGCCCCTGGTCCGTCCCAGCCGGTGACCCCGCGCAAAATGCTGGCATCATCGCCCGTAACGCGTTCAAACTGCCGCTTCCACAAGATCAGCCTTCCGCGTGAAGAAGACGGGCCGCGTGTCTTTTTCCTTGTCCCAGGTTGCTCGCTTGGCAATGGCGAGCTCATGGAAGAGGAGAGCATCCAAGATCACGGGCCCGCAATACTCGACAAGGACACGCGATTAGTTAGCAACATTGAAAAGTTGGACTTCAGCCCATACCTCCTCAGCGTGCTACGCCAGCTTGTTAGTGTGGATCTCCTCAGGGAGCAGGAAATATTCTTCTGGCCCCAACCTGGGGATAAGTATCAGTGGAAATCGAGGAGGAAGTCCAAGGTTACGAAGGCGACGATTCCGACGCTATCGGCGGCTTCGCGTAAATCCACTGGGGCGCGCAATTTGCCAAGAGCAGCGTCGGTCGCACTTTCGGATACGGGGCGATCGGCAGGGCGCGCACCCTCGTCGCGAGCTGGGTCTGTCTCTACTGTTGGTTCCAGTCGAAGAAAGAGCCGTTTGTCGGATGGAGGCAGTCTGACTACCACCGCGTCAATGTCCGCGAGCGAACTGAGCGACTTAAGCGATGTCGAGGAACCTCCGGTGAAGAAGCAGAAGGAGGAAGCTCTCCCAAATCAAACTGTCCAGATTGAATCTGACGTAGCAGCGTCAGTCTTGAAGGCTTCCGCTGTAGCCTCTCGTCGGCTTGCATCAAGAAAGAGTCAGCGGCTGAGTGCTGATGCGTCTGCTTATAAACCTGGCGACGATAAAAACGAAGAATCTACCGACGATGAGCAGACGCGCGGCAAGCGGAGAAGAAGCACGCGGAAAACAACAAAGCGAACCAGAGCGAACGACGACGATGGTTCTCAGTCCGTGAGTGCACCACCTAAGAAGAGGCGAGCTCGAGAGAAAGATTCAAGCCAGGTTCAGAAGGACGAAGATACTCCGGCATCGTAGTGTAATGATGTATCCTAAAGCACAACGTAGCTAGCTTTAACTACAAACAGCAACTTGGTAATTGAGTGGTTTTCTAGACACCCCGTCCTCCGACTTGGATACATACTTCGAACGCAATCAATAGGCATAGCCTACATCAGAGCTAGTACTCTGCAGTTCGCTCCAACGACCGTCGGTTGAGGTGCGGTCCTCGTCCGGATTGAATTCCCGCGATACCCTGAAAGACGTCCTATCTTTGAATCGCGCAGAGTCCTCTGCTAACTCTAAAGCCGAGTACTCGTGCAAGAAGCGATCCCTCGCACGATTTTCCCTAGGCGAGATTCTGTAGGCAAGATCCTCAACCCTATCTCGGGTGAGGCCGCACGAGTGCAGCATGATCGCCACTAGGTTGAACGCGGGAGGTATATCAAGCGAAGTGTCCTCCAGCATGAAGACCTCGTGCTCGAAACCCTGTACGAAACTATCTGCAGGCCAGCAGAGTTTTCGGACAGGTTCTCGGGAAAATAACGAGGCGACGAGCATCGCATCGGAGTGGTCGCTGGACGACAGGGCGGACGATACGAGGCTCATCACGAATACATGGCGGTATTTTGACTCGAGAGCTGAGAAGAACTCCTCTGCCGTGGGCAGCTGTCGATAAGAGAAGAAGGCTCGCGCCTTTTCATGGCACTGTAGTGTGATTTTGGGGGGGAAACTGAAGCGCTCTGGGACATCAGGCGGGCTGGGCGTGTCGAAGTCATCCTGGTCCTCCTCGACGTCGAGACCATAAATCTCGGATCGCGGCACAGTGCCGAACATGTCGTTGGGCTTCGGGTTCGTGGCTTTGTCTAACGCATTCTTTTGCAGATGGGTTAACCATATAATTGTGTTGCGAATGAGTCGCTGGCACGCACCATAATAACGTATCGAATTTTGAGAGATATCGAGTCTTCCTGCAGGATATGTTCAAGCCCGTCAATGGCCACAAGAGATTCTAGGAGGCGAATAGCGTCTGGAGCATGGAAAATAGGAGATAAAAATGCGACGAGGGCCAGTGCATGTCCCTCATTGTTATTTTCTGCTCCCGTCGTCAACGTCTCGATGGTCTCGCCAACGTCTTGTGGTAGAAGCACACCGTGTACCAATAACTCTCCCAGAAAGCGAGCAGCGACGCGCAGCTGCTCGTCGCTCCCGTGTACGACAATCCTGTCGATTTCCGCGAGCGCTTGCGCTTGTATGGCAGTCTCGAACGAGTGGATCGGGTTCCCAACATGGTACAGCTCGACCATTCGCCAGCGGTTCCTTTCGCCCTCCAGCTCATCGACGATCCTCTGACAAAGGCCGCCGTATAACTCCGGGCGTAAACTGTCCGTCAAGCCCCGCTCCAGAATCTGCGCTGCGAGGGCGTCTAACAACACAGGGTCGGCCGTTCTCTCGACGGACATGGCAAGTTGGACGATCTGGTCCGATATGCTGCTGAATGCTGTAGCGGTGAACTTGTTCAAGAGACCACAAAGCTTGCATCGTAGCTGGGTTGCGTCGATCGGGATACTGCGAGGTCGCCACGGTGGGGAGGTGAGTGGTCTTTCAGATAAGTCTAAGGGCGAAAGAGACATGATCACAAGCGCGTCAGAATGTCCACTGGGGCATCTTCAGCTGAAAACTCCTAATGCGCTTTAAAGTGTACGTTAAATGAATGGGGGAGTTCATAATGGGGCTCCTAACGTACGGCACGGGCAACCTCACTTGCTGGGGGGCACGGTCGGCAGGCAGTGCCAGCGCGTCGCAGAAGAGGGAAAGACTGGGAGGACGTCTTCATCCTGATCCATTAGATTATCAGCTGGCGCCGGAGAACAGCAGGGCCGATTTCATGATACACTGTAAATGAACAGTTATATGAAATGCTACCGTAAGTGTTTCCCCTGGGCGTTCTGGCCAGTTCATGGTGCATGCTGCTTTCTAGTGGACCTAGAATATGTGTTCGTCGTGTATCAGGTGAACATGATACATTGTCTAGTTCAATCTTGCTCATTGTCATGCAAGACCGGCCGGATTGCGAACGGGCGCTCGATTCACCGCAATGATTTATTGAATTCTGTAAAAGGACAATAGATATCACCTGGGAATATGGTAGTCTATGGCAGGTAATTGCAAAATCACTGTAAGAGACGGAATGATCAGGAAGTAAGATAATGCGAGATATCCAAGTCAAAACGTACCATCCAATACAAACACTAGTGTCTCTCTGGCGTGGTTTTACTGATGTATTAGTATACAGGTAACAGGGTTCAATTGTGACGCTATCACATATTGTAGAAACAAATCAAGGCCGTGAAAGATAAGGTATGTGACATGGGAAAACATAGCGCAAAGATCCGTCATCTTCTCGATGTCTTCTTTCTCAGTCTCCCATCTTCATCCTCCTCGTCGTGGACAACGACCCTGGCCCTTTTTGAGGTTTTGCTACCAGATTTCAAAGCAGCAACGGCTACTTTTCGTCCTTGGTCCTCCTCGGCATCGTCATCCGACTCGAAAACATCGTCATCAGCTTTCCGCTTCTTTTGCGCACCAGGCTTGTTCGATGGTCGAGCAGCAGTAGGTCCCCCAGTTTTAACGACCTGCCCTTTATCCTCGTCCTTGCACTCGGCTGCCGTATTGGCTCGCTCGTCATCAGACTCAAACGGATTATCTTCTGCTTTTTCCCTAAGCTTAGGTTTAGGTTTCGCCGACATCCCCGAAGCCTCTTTCTCCGCGGCCACTTTGACTGCATCGGAATTCTTGGCAGCATTCAGCTCCGCGTAGAACTCGTCTTTTAATCTCTGTGTATATGCGGAGAATAACAATATGCCGTGGCAGGACTGAATTCAAAGGAATTGACATACCTTGCTTTCGGCGTCTGGAAGGAGAGCGGCGTTTTTCCATACCTTCTTACAAGCGAGATGAAATGGCTAAGCATACACGTGTGGCCGGATGGTCTTACCGTCGACGGGATCCCGCTTGCATGCTTGCTGTCAAGGCCTCAAGAGCGCCGTGAAACTTCGAAATCAAGGGTCTAGAACGCAGTGCCAAAAAACATACCTATTGCAGTGTATAAATTCGATTTGACGCCCATTAAATTCATCCCGTGCCTCCGAAGCAGGACCTTCATGATCTGCACATGACCGGTCTCTGTCATTCAAGAAGCTCTGCAGTGTGCAGTTAATGGTATAAACCTCAGTCATATCATCTTTATCGTAGACGTTAGGAACGTAGAGGCACAGCACGTGTGAATAATTTGGAATTTCGATCCGCGGACAGGTAGAAACCTTCGTTAGGTCCGCGCTTGTAGACGCCAGCGGCCCTGAAACAAGTGAAGCTGCAAGAGGAGACTCAGAGGGAATGCATATAAGCAATAGTCGACAGGGCGCACTTGCAATCGCCGACCAGACGAGATCGACTTTTTCGGATGGGGCAAAGATAAGCCTAATACGCAGCCATGAGATCATCAAGTAGCAATATTCGGTATGGATGCACCATTTCCCAGAGACATAGTCGTGACGAACAGAAATTTCTTTCAGTTTTTCCGTGGCCTCGCTTTGGACCTGTGTACCGTGAGAGACATTCGTGGGTGAAACGAGAGGAACACACTGCCTCGCGCATCTCCTTCTTGCTTTTAGTACCCTTCTTCTTGTTTGCACGGACCGGAATAGAGTCATCGTTCTGTATGGAGCAAGAGCAATAAGCGGATCCCGCGCGGTACAACCGGCACTAATCACTTTGATATTCTCAATCTTCTCAGTCATTTCCTTTACTACATCCCGCGTGTGAGACCATGGACGGAAGCATTGGCGCAACACGCACGCAGCTGGGTTGCTTCTTCCACAGCTAGGTCCTTCTTTGCGTGGTCGGTCGACTTGTCTGATTTCTCCACCCACAACCACTGTGACGGGGACTTATCAGTAGCAATCATCGCGTAGGTTACGCGTTATTCTCACAGGTTTCGTTCCATCGTCTTGCACCATCGATGGCTTGTACTGGAGTGAGAAATTGTCAGTCAATGTGGGAAGGACGAGGTATTGCACGCGCTTTTGTGAGAAAGTCTGGCAACGATAGGGGGGACTCTGACGTCCAGTAGTATGGGTAGTCGATGGATACAACATCTTCGTTGTTGCTCATCGTAGCGTTGCAGGACGAGAGTGGCAGCTTAATGGAGCTAAAGCTGAAGGACGTCGAGGCCAGGAGGAGGACACGCCGCAGTTGTGACGCGTTCGCGACGCGTTATTTACATGTATTTGTATACTGTGGCGACACGCATTAGGTCTCCGAGCCCATCATCGTGATTCAAGATTGTAGTTTACCTTGCGATTCAACTTGCCTTGTCAGGACATTCTCCTTGTAGACTTACAGGCCAAGTGATACCGGGACCGTATCTCGTTATCATTTTCCGGCGAAGCACGAACATGGGCAGATTATCAAATGAGCAGCTATCAAATTCACTTACAGAGAATTCCAATAGGACACACATTGACTGCTGGGTGCACTTCAAGTCGTAGACACACTGGATTAATTCCCCATAAATAGTCCAAACGACCGGTGAATGCTGCTTCCTCGCCGAAACCAGCTGCATCTCCCAGCAGATCGAAGTCATTAACCTCCACATAGGCGGCAGAAACCGGGACTAGACAAAACTGATGAGCGTTAGTGGATTAGCACGAGTGGTGTAGCAAGAACATCGGTCGTTCCCATGGACGGGTATCAATCACGGCCATTGAAGTACATCAGACCAATGCCTGTGAACGCGCATTCATCATACTACCGCATTCAGACAGCATACCATTCCGTCATTCCGGGCCAATTAGGCTGCCATACGAAGAAAGGATTGTAGTGCCGTCTCAGCCCATGGAGAAGACACCTGAAATTCCAATCTGTTCCTGAGAAAGACGTACTGAAAGGGTGCATTCCCAATAAAGTAACACATACACGAATTTTGCTATAAACGTGGCACGACTGGAGAACACCAACAGACTTTTCAGCGAGCCGGACTTTAAACCATACCGATCAGCTCCGGGAGCAGTTTTGGCTGGCTGTTGTGCTGACATTTGCACAGTGTCCAGGCAAGACGGGAAGTTGTAGGTGGGAACAGTCTTTTGCAATGAGGAATGATTTTGGTCGATTTTAAACAGGTGCCCCCTGGTCGGGGAGTCGCTCTATTGCATACCGTCTGCGTACGATATACATAAGTGGAACACCCGGTATCTGTCGTATTCGTCGGCGGAGCTCGCGATCACATGTTGCGACGATGTAGCAGCGATGAGAGGTGACGCGTTGAACGAGACAATCATCCGCGTACGTGCCCGAGTGTGAGCATGAGAGACGTTCGAAACGTGGGTCTCGGGCAACTCTGTGGGTCGGACGCGGTCAGCATTGCTCGGTATGCTGCGGGAGCTGAAAGGCGCACCGTAGAGCTATGCGATATCTGTGACCCAACTTCTCCAGCTCGGCCATGACGCAGTCCGTGACACATGGTATGCCTGTATGCCATATCCCATCCTAAGCCAAACCGCGGAACCTCGAGCCGCGAACCACGTACATTTTGCATACAGGCAGTCCATCATCCCACTTACCAGCTCCAACTTATTCTGCAGGCTAAAGTTGATGAAGTTGGTGTCAATCAGGACGCGATATGGCGGTACAAGGGCATCGTTATGTTGCAGAAACAAAGACGAGGCAACCTGTGGTCTGCGAGAGAGGGATGATATGACACTCCGTAAGTACAGTGCACACCAACAGGCAACGAGGAACGCACATCCGACGAACAGCTTTCTCCTTCTCAGCCTCCTCTTTCTGTTTCTGCTTCAGCTGGTTCTCCTTGCTGTCAACTGGGATGAGCCAAAGACCTGCGCAATCCTGAAGACAGTGCACGCACAGCCTGATATCGTTGGGATTAAGCAGCCGTTTCACTTGCGCGAACTTTCTGGTCTTCTTCGCTTTTCCCTGTATGTTCAACATAAATGGATGGTCGGGTACAGACGAGTGAAAACCGCGAACCATGACTGACAACTGCAGGAGGGTGTTTGCTCGGATCGAAATCTGCACAGATTGGTGGCGTGGGACTACAGTCTGTAGAAGGAAAGCGATCAAATTGCGCGTTTACTCATTGGCTTACGCCGCTTCGGCGCACAGCAAAGTTCGTTGGGTGCCGGTGACTCCTAGAGTGACTCAGGTAACAGAGCGCGCGACTGAGATGAGACTGTCCGGACATTCTTCATCGTTGCCTCTCTACCAACATCTGTACACCGGAAACCCGACGACTGTACAATGCAGTCCCACAGAAGCTGTTCATCCCGATTGTTCCGACAGGCCTGCACAGGCCGCCCAGCGTTTCGCTAGCGGCCACTGGTTACTGGTAATCCTACTTTGACATGCTTTACATGCGGTTCTGATCAGAGACAAGACACATTGATCCGTAGCTGGTTAGAACAAGCGTTCCACCAGTGCGGCGGTGTGTAAAATCAGTCACTGCGAGGCTGTCAGTTTTCTATGCTAAGCTGTACTACTCCGTGATAGCAAATAACAATCTGCGGTGATATCGCTTAAGCGGGTTCGCAGTCTGTGATACACCATCACTGAATCAACGCCGCTGGCAGCTCTGCAGTGCACTGTCATTGTCCAGAACGACAACTTGACATCATCGGCGCAGATTGACTCGGTCAGGTACGTCAGTATGTTGAGACATTGTCCGTATTTACTCGCTGTTATCAAAGGTTTTCCTGTTCATAAGAACCCTCACAGCGAATAATATCAACGACTCTTGTCTCATACTAATAATTTCAGCCTGCATTGGCTAAATATTTGTTATTTCCAATAAGTACATAATTTGAAGGGTCATGCAAGCATTACAATCAATGTCGAACCATTGCATGCAAATACCTATATCAAGACTGACTCTATCTTCAAAGACTGGGATCATGCAAGTTCCACATCAGTTACCATCTTGCGGCCCATTACCATGCCCAATTTCATGCCTGTTCGCGTACAGTAGTCCACTCACTTGGGTCGGACGTGGAAATAGGGAGCTTCGCTTCCTTTCGATCCCTCCTCGTGCCAAGCGTGCACTCCATATCACCGCCCCCGAATGCAGGTAGCCACTCTCAAGTGATCAGGCAAGTACCGGATGTTATTAATGAGGCACGGGCTGACAACAGTTTGAACGTAGACTACTCATGTCACGGAAATGTGCGACCTGCTATGCCACTAACGCTTCTTGCTTGAGAAAATCATGTATCATTCAAGTTGCTCTAACATATCGAGACGTCCTAGACGTCTTTCACAGTGACTTGTCGTATTCTGATCTCTAGAAGCCTGTGGGTACGGCTAAAATGATTTATGAGCGGACCGGCTCGAGGACAGATGCCATTCTCACAGATCAACAATTTATGGGGGACGTGCAGGCAGCATCATACACACGCCGTCTTCGATAAACCCTACGCATATAGCCACCGCTCAACTCAAAGAACTACGTACGGTGTGCACTCCGGGTATCATTTAATTCAGCGACTGCGGCATTTCCACAGTATCCTGCTAATTCGTCCCCCAATCTCATAATCCCGTCCCGAGCCTTCTGTTTGCACACGATCCAGACTCCACCCCGCAGTATTACCGGACAGCACAGTAAGTCTCATCATGCACTATCTTGCAAAGCAGCACCTCTCGGTGCTGGTTCACACCCATACGATCAGATATTCCTGATAGTTCTGATCATTCACACTAGCATGAAGTCTGACGCTCGACCACCGAGCAACATGCACGATGGCAGGACAAATACCGATAGACGTGCGGAAAACTTGCCATTCTACAGGCTGATAGTCTTGTCTTTGCCTGTAGTCACTACCCTGACTGAATTTACATAGAGCGAAGGTCTCAAACAAGTTAGTCATCCGAGTCTGCCAGTTGAATCACTTATCTCTCCAAAGCAATGGATCCACGACGTCCGAGACGCCTCAGGGCTGGGACACAGAAATGCGCGCAAGTATTTGCGTTCGCAATCGCATTTGTCCTCGCATTTGCAAGTTGTCGCGCCACCCGCGTTCAGCCACTGCACTAGGCTCTAGCAGCCGCCGTACTTGTACTTTACAGTGCTAGATTGTGGCGAGCGCATATGCAAGTTCAAATTATAACATTTGCACCATTTATCGTGTTTATTTTTCGAAATCGATATCACAAATTTTAGCCCTTGATCCTGGTTGTCGCCAAGCGGACAACTACAATCGTTAAGCTGCAGCACAAACAGTGCCGTCCGACCCTCCGAGTGCCTCGGAGTGTGATGCGCGTGTAGGGAGTCATGAAATTATTGCGCAGCGCAAATGACCGGCCGGATCTTGCGCACGGAGTAGTGATGTGATTTTGATGGGCCGACGGTCAGGGATTCTTCAAAGGCGTGATGGCAGTTTTTTTATAGTCAGCCTTTAGGGGAACGTTGAACGTTGAACGACTGGGGACCACCACCCTCAACCGGAGGCACGGGGGGCACACGTGAGGCTGTGGAGAGAAGATCCGCTGTATGCGTATTTACTATTAGTCTCTACGTGACAGCTGTAGATCCTTGGTCTGGTCTGCTGCTCAGGCATAAAAGTTGTCGCAGCCTATGACGACATTATGCGACGGTCTAATCCCCGTGGCCTATACAAAATGAAACGTTCCGATTCACGTTTGACCACAGCAAACCAATACCGAGGCGGGTCAGTACAGGCCTCCTGATCACTCCGGAATTGAACGTTGGAATGGTCTAACACCCTCATGGAGCGCAGTTAGCGGCTAGCATCTGTATCGGAACCCCCGAGCCACTACTCGCGACACCTGAACAGAGGGCACATGCTCTTACCATTCCATGGATCACACGGACATGTCTGGTTGTCGTGCTTGCCATTGAGTTATGAGAAATAAGAACCACCCGAGTATCAGAGCGGTCCAGCGGACAGTGGTGTCGAACACGCCTAGGATAGGATAGTGCCGACTGGCGCGGTGATCCTGCAGTATTCGAGTACTCACGGTGTACTGGCATTGGTAGCTCAGATCTCAGGACCAGCATCTCTGGGCGTGCTGGGATCGTCGTGAGGGTGCCACCCACGCAGGACCCGTGCCCCACGTCGTTCTCGTCATCCTGGGACATGCGCGCGGGCAGTTGCGCTCCCGCACACTTCTGCGCGTACGTGGCACCACTCGAGCTCCTCAGGTCCCACGGGTGCGAGAATAGATAGGGTCCCCAGGCAGAGGGAGCGTCAGCGAAGGTAAGTATATGCTATCCCCGCTTCATGTTCAGAGTTCTCCTGCGAGTTCGTTCTAGTGGCGCGAAGCCGAAGCAGACGAAAACAGCGTGTGCCAGACGCTGGGCGATGCACACTACACCTGTGCGCTGGATTTTTGGCAGTGGATTGGACAGATGAATGATGCCAACGAACCTTAGTAGTATGATGTCGTCGCCGCACTGTCAGAGCCTGATCACTCTCAAAGCGCACTTCGAGCCTAGACAGCCATCGAACGGAGTACAAAAATGCCAAAGGCAGCGCCGCTGGAGTCTGATATCATATCCTGAGCGAATATGTCCACGAGAGTGCGACTATCAGATAACATGAGGGAACTTGGCAGTCGCTCGGGGACGGAACACAGCTCTGGGACTCACCTTCCGCTTATCTATAATTCTCATGCTATCGAGTGGCATCGAGATGTATAATTTATCGAAGTCGAAGCTGCGTTAAGTGTGTTCATGGATAGAACGCAGGTGCATATCGGAAGCGCACAGGGCTCTCACGTTCCTGGACCTTTCGAGACACCCTAGGTATAGTAAACGTCATAGATCGCAATTGTTATTCATGGCCAAGGAAGATATGTGTATTGCTGGTGCCCAGTGTCACAATGGCACATCTCATAACTGTCCTGTGGCAAGAAAGGGATACGGTCAAGGCTTCTACGATACCCGCGGCTCCAAGATGCTGGGTATGGCAGCCCTTGGTAAAGGTACGGTGGGGCGTTGTAAGAAATTGGAAGGAAATTGGCGTGTCCCAACGGTGGGATCCGAAATTCCCAGGGAAAAGCGCTAGTCCCGGTTGTGGGAGGCGATAATCGAAATAATCGAATATTGGTAGTCGGCATCAATTCGATCTGGTTGGCCCGGCCGGATCATAACCTAGGCAGAGCCATGCATGCCATCTGTCTTTGTTCAATTTCGACTCTGACGGTAGCCCCTCCGCCGCCGTATAAATGCTCCCAAACTCACCTCATTTTCCCCCATCTCCTCTCAGCTCCCCAGCTTCCTCCTCCAGTTCAACACACCCCCACAGTCTCAACACTGCGCCCACCATGCCCATTGCGACTAACGGCTTCTCCCACAAAACGAACGGCGCGAACGGACATGCTGCAAAATTTGAGCATGCGCCCGCCGCACCTGTTACTCTGCTGAACAAATTCATCGACGCCCACCGTGAGCTCGAGGCATACACGTACGTTCTCGTCGTCTCCCCACTGCATAGCCACGTCGACCGCTGTTGACCACTGCTGACTCGCGGTTATTTTTTTAAGGAGTGGCAAGCCCGTCCTCATCGACGGAAAGACCCTTTCAATCCCTGCTGTCACCGCCGCAGCGCGATACAGCGCCCCTGTCGCCCTCGATGGCTCTCCCGACATTCAGGATCAGGTCGCCCGCAGCCGCGCCGTCATCGAAAGCAAAGTCAAGGCTCAGACCAGCGTGTACGGCGTCAGCACCGGTTTCGGTGGCAGTGGTAAGGTTTCTATTTATTTTACCACTCAATTAGTCTCGTCATGCAAGGAGGGGAGAGTAGTCTTGAGGCCGACTTCCTAATAGGCACATTTGATGGCTAAATTAGGAGTCGTGGTCACCATTGGTTCGATGGCGCATTCACGTGATGAACAACCCTATTCTGGGGTTCAGTTTATCTGTGGCGTCACGACTTCCCTGCGCCGGAGCCTGGACTCTTGATTGGTGTTTTGCGTCGAAATCAGCAGTGATGATTGTATATTGCATCCAGTCCTGCAACGCTCGGGGCGATATTGGTCATGCACTGACCACTGAGCCCTGATATTGATAGGGTCGGACCCAGGTCAGACCCTGTCAGATCGTTTTGACCCTATAACAGATGGCCAATCGCTATGTGGGGTGCCTTCTGTGGTTTACCCATATACAGTCGACTCCTACATCACACACCTGTCATGTCATACTCTTGTTGTACAAGGGTGTTTGGCACAGCTAGGAACCGATTTGGAAACTGGTTTCGTCGTCGGCATCGAGTCGGACGGCGATGCCAAAAATGTTTTTGCAGTTCGTTGCCATCTGTCGTGTGCCAGGAACGCTCTGCGCATGTTCTCCTGAATCTACCTCAGCCCGATGTCATAATGTACTGCATGCTAATTAATTTCGATCACAGCAGACACCCGTACCGGCGACCCAATCATGCTCGGACATGCGTTGCTCCAGCATCAGCATACCGGCGTGCTGCCATCTCAGATGACCAACCCCATCCCAGTTCTTCCTCTCCTCGACCCTCTCACCTCGACTAGTATGCCAGAGTCCTGGGTCCGCGGTGCCATCATTATCCGCATGAACTCTCTCATCCGCGGCCACTCTGGCGTTCGTTGGGAGCTCATTGAGAAGATGGGCGAGCTGCTCAGCCAGCATGTCACCCCTCTTGTACCGCTCCGCGGCAGTATCTCCGCCTCGGGAGGTGAGTCAATATTTGATGTTCGCTCCTTCCGCACTCGGAGCCTCCGATTACTCAATATGCTAAAAACTTAATTTCTCCAGACCTCTCCCCGCTCTCGTATATCGCAGGGACGCTCACCGGGAACCCGTCTATCCGCGCTTTCGTCGGACCGGCGAAGTTTGGCGCGCGCACTATTCTCCCCTCGGACGCTGCTCTAGAGCAGGCAGGGATCGCGCCCTTACCCCTGCAGTCGAAGGAGCACCTCGGCATTCTCAACGGGACAGCCTTCAGTGCTTCTGTCGCCGCACTTGCGCTCCATGATGCGGCGCACCTTGCTCTGCTATCCCAGGTGTGCACTGCTATGGGCACAGAAGCGCTCCTTGGTACGACTGGCTCTTTCGAACCGTTCATCCACGACATCGCGCGCCCGCACCCGGGCCAGATCGAAGCGGCTGCGAATGTACGCTCGCTGCTCGAAGGAACGCAACTCGCGATCACCAAAGAAGAGGAGAAGACGATCCACGACGATGCGGGCGAGCTCCGTCAGGACCGGTACCCGCTCCGCACGGCGGCACAGTTCCTGGGCCCGCAGATTGAGGACATCTTGTCTGCGCTGGAGACGGTCACTCTCGAGTGCAACACGAGTGCGTTGATCTTTTTCGTCGTGAGATTGTGCAAGACTGACGTGCGCCGGCAGCGACTGACAACCCGCTGATTGAGGCGGAAACTGATACAGTGCACCATGGAGGCAACTTCCAGGCCATGGCCGTGACAAACGCCATGGAGAAGACGCGACTTGCACTCCACCATATTGGCAAGCTGCTCTTTTCGCAGTGTACTGAGATCCTGAACCCGACGATGAACCGCGGGCTCCCGCCCAGCGTCGCCGCTACGGACCCGTCGCACAACTACCACGCCAAGGGCATCGACATCCACACTGCCGCATACGTCGGTGAGCTCGGCTACCTTGCGAACCCGGTATCGACACACATCCAGTCTGCCGAGATGCACAATCAGGCGGTTAAGTAAGTACGGCCCTCTGACGCAGCATCTAGCACTGACGCTCGTATGCACAGCTCGCTCGCGCTCATCAGTGCACGCGCGACGATTAACTCGTTGGAGGTGCTCTCACTCTTGACCGCCAGTTACATCTACGTGCTGTGCCAGGCGCTCGACCTTCGCGCGCTGCAGCGCGAGTTCAATGTCGGCTTCCGAGCGATTGTCGCCGCCGAGTTCGACGCACAATTCGGCACCGCCCTCAAGGTAGTGGAGCAGGCTGAGCTACTCAGTCAGCTCTACATTGCGCTTGAGCACGCGCTCGACAGCACCAGCACAATGGACGCCATACCGCGCATGCGCAAGGTCGCAGCGGCCAGTGCAGCGCCGATCGTCGACTTCCTTTTGGCCCGTGGGGGTACAGTGGGTGCGCTGGAGGCGCTTGGCTCATTCCGTGAGGGAGTCGCGGTACGTGGTGCTGCATTGCTCGAGGAGCTGCGCCGGGCGTATTTGGCGGGAGAGCGGGGACCTGCGCCTGCGGGTCCGTTCTTGGGCAGGACACGCAAGGTGTACGAGTTTGTGCGGGTTGCGCTGGGCGTGCGCATGCACGGTGCCGAGAACCTCGACGAGTTCGCGGCGGGTCCGGGCGTTGTGGACTCGAACTTAGGGCAGAACATCTCGCTGATCCATGAGGTGAGTGTCGATTCGTGTGCTTTGTAGCGCAGCCGCTGACCATCGACTTGCTTCTTTCAGGCGATTCGCGACGGCAAGATGCAGGGTATCATCGTCAGCTTGTTTGATTAGATGCGCCACAGGAGAGATTTAGCGGGCGGATGGCCGTTTATTTATCTCGTAGACTAAATGTTGACAAGCCTAGATACCCGAAAGGCTCCCTTTGTATTCCATAGATGCAGTACATATCATAAATACATTAGACGTCTGTTCAAACCGAGCACCACGATAGCAGACTGACCTCTGAGAAGTAGTCCGTGCTCGCCAGGTCGGGATTTGCGGAGGAGCTCCTTGTACCAAATGACTCATCTCCAGCTGGGACTAGCCTCAAATGAAAAAGCTCGAAAAGAGCTGAGGCTGGTCCGCTACCTGAGAATGACTGTTTCTCTGAGTCTCGACTCACAAGTGCTGGTCGTACACACTAAACCCTACAGTTATCGGCATGACATCTGCAAAGAGTATCCTTTCTGCCGGGATGATCGAAAGGAGCTGAACAGTATAATATTCAATTTCAGCAGAGGTATATCTAATCGTTTTTTAATTTGGACCCAGCCGTTTGCGCTCCTATGCTTCGAAAGGTGTGCAAGTAGAACTGTGACACTCATTTGAATGCTGTATTAGCTCAGACTATAATGTGCTTGTACTATGTTTGGACCTGGCGCCTCTGCCGCTGCTTCTTGATAGTCACTTGTAGACCTCTACTATACTCAGGACTATGTACACGTGTCTTTTCAGTGCACATACAGTTCAGTGAGTGAGATAGAACCAATATTCGACCCCCAGATAAACTTGAAACCATCCTCGTTGGAGAATCTCCGAATTGTTCTGCCTAGACTTTCGTCGGAGATCCGGCCGGATTCAGTAGGAATTGATGAAAAGTGACCCACGCTATCAGGATGAACTTGATTCAAAGACCGTACATGCGTGTTTGAAAGAAATACCAGCCCCCACTGGCACAGTTGTACTGATCACCACACATAGCAGTCAACAATGGTGACTGGTATCGACCAGAATAGCGAGATACTGATCATAGGTGCAGGATGCTTTGGTCTTTCGACGGCTTACCACCTCTTAAAGAGAGGTTTTGCGCACATTACGGTGCTCGATAGTGCATCAGAGCTGCCAGCGCCCGAGGCTGCAAGCACGGACATGAACAAAGGTGCGCAGTCGTGGTGCTCCAAGTCTGAGCTATAGCATGATACTTACCCGCCCATCCGGCGTAGTTGTACGAAGTGCGTACTCGGACATGTTCTACGCTCAGCTCGCACGCGATGCAATTGCGGCATGGAAAGACGCAGAAGAATGGGGTGATATATATCATGAGTATGAAGTTGTTAATTATCCCCTTCATCGCTTTCTCACTGTTCGCAGATCGGGCGTACTGGTCCTCTTGGACCGGACTGACTCATACTCTGACCAAGCATACAACAACGAGATCAGCCTTGGTGCGCGTATCGAACCGCTCAAGGACGCTGCCGCACTACGGTCGGTCTTTCCTCCGGACGTCGAGACGTGTTCCTTCGAAGAGCGCTCCGGATACCTCAATCGAGATGGCGGCTGGGCTAACTCGTCCCAGGGAATTGTCCGCATGCTACAAAAAGTCACCACGCTTGGTGGGGCCGTCGTCCCCGGAAAACATGTCGTGCGCCTCCTCAAGGAGGTCGGGAAGACCATCGGCGTTGAGTGTTCCGACGGCTCGCAATACCGCGCAAATCTCGTTGTGCTCAGTGCGGGTGCATGGACTGCAGCAGCCTTCCCTGACTTACACCTCGGCGGAATGTGCAAGGCAACGGGGTGAGTGGCTCTCTGCGTCTCTCAAGATATCCGACACTCACCGCCCAGGGGACTTGGGGTCGTCGGACATGCAGCCAGTCCGTCGGCAAAATCCAACTCACCCCGGAAGAGGCGGCGGTCTACCGTGATAACCCGGTTTACTTGGATTTCAACGACTTTTATGCATTTCCGGTAACGTAGCCCACTTTCTATCTGGCGCTGTGGAAGCTGACTGGACGTCCCACCGCAGCCTAACGACCAGAACATCGTTAAGTGCGCAATACACGCGCGTGGCTACACCCACATGCAGGACACCTCGGATGGTGCAGTCTCTGCTCCCATTTTCGTCGACTCAAACGGCAAACAGCAATCACGCGTGCCCAAACTCGCACTAGAAGAGCTGCGTGAAAGCTTGCGCAGAGCATATCCTGCGCTTGGCGCGAAGCCCTGGTGCAGCACGCGTATGTGTTGGTAAGGCGATCTTCATACCTAAGTCTTCCACCGCGATGGAGTGCCTGTGGTTTCCCGATAGTTGGCTGACTCCGCGCGGGGTCAGGTACACGGACTCCCCAGACGAGGACTGGGTGATAGGATTTCATCCGACCGACCCGCAGGTCATGCTCGCGACCGCTGGGAGCGGACACGCTTACAAGGTGGGTGCCTCGCGCACCAGGTATGATAGTATACCTGAGACCAGTGTCTAGTTCCTCCCAGTTATTGGCCGACTCGTGGCGGATGCTATACAGGGTATTCTGCCCGCAGACCTAGTTCAGAAATTCGCGCTGGATCGTATGAGGAACGATGTGACGGAGTCTCGATCAGGCAGCAACGTTCGGGAACTTGACCTACAACAAATGTGCACGGAGGCAGATTTTGTACCATCTTGATCCTGCGTTCAGAGAAGGATGATTGCTTGTGATATGTAATGTACAAGAATGATTAGAAATACATCTCTACTAGATATACTTTTCCAGCCGACCGAATGGTGGTCGGTAGATGAGTCTATAGATGCTCCTGCTACCATTACCAATAACATCGTACGCGTATATCATGCTTATGCTCTCTTGCCAACAAACTTTCGCCATGATCGCACCTCAGTGGGGATACGGCCTTCAGTGTACTTCCTCAGACCACCCTGGGGTATTTTCTGTGCCAGCGCCTCGACAAATAACTGTGCACAACGAGGATTGTTCAACAGCGGCAGACCGAAGTCAACCGCATTGCTAAACAGGAAGAGACTGAAAACCAGACGCATGTCAGATAATGAACGGTGCTCACCGGCGGGCAACATAATCTTCGTCGGTTGCGTCTTTTCCTCGTCCTTTTGCGAGGTTAATAACACACTCTATGTCATACTCGTCAAATACTTCCCGCAGCTTGCGCTTGTCTTTGGTAGGGAAGAATATCCGCTTCGCCGAAACGTACGGAATATCTTTGAGGAACTCTTCAACAGCGGGAGACGAGCAATACAGCTTGAATCCAAGATCAAACAACGTCTTGGCTATAGTCCTCATCTCCGGCGTCTTGATATCACCACCAATGAGCACACCAGTATTTGGCCGCGGGATCTTGAAGCCTGTGGTACTTAATAAGGACGCCCAATATGCCTCATGGATGTCCTTGCCAAAGCTCGCCACCTCGCCGGTACTCGCCATCTCTGTGGATAATCCCAGAAGTATCAGTACGCAAGCTTATTAGAGGCTGCCAAACACTTACCAACACCCAGGAATGGATCTGCGCCACCCAACCGTGTCCAAGAGAATTGCGCAACCTTGACCGCGGTGTAGTCGCGCTTCTCCGCCATGGCATCCACGGGCTCCGGCACGTTCTGACCAACAATAGCAGCCGTCGCAGTGTCGATGAAGTTATGTCCAAGGACCTTCGAAACGAAAGGGAATGAACGCGAGGCACGCAAGTTGCATTCAATGACCTTAAGCTGTGCATCTTGGCCGGGCTCTTCGGCGGCCTTGCGGATGACCTGCATATTGAAGGGACCTGAGATATCGAATGCGATAGCTACTTTTTCTGCAATTTCCTTCAGACGCGTCATATCGTGTTCGGTGAGCGAGAACGGAGGAAGAACAAGTGTCGCATCTCCGGAGTGCACACCGGCGTTCTCAACGTGCTCAGAAACAGCATGAAGTAGAAGCTTGCCCTGGTGAGCTACAGCGTCGACGTCGATCTCTTGGGCACCGTCGATGAATTTGGTGATGACGACTGGGTGAAGGGGGGAGACGGAAGCAGCAGCGGAGAGGTTGTATTCGAGCGCAGACTCTTCGTAGACCACATTCATAGCAGCTCCAGACAAGACGTACGACGGACGGATTAGGACAGGGTATCTAGTTCGTTGTATGTTAGTATTGTGATGGCGAAGGCGCAAATGCGATGCACGCACCCAACTTTTTGTGCGAATGCCTTCGCAGCATTAACAGAGGACACCTCAGCCCATTGAGGCTGGTCCACGCCAATGCTATCCAAGATGGACGAGAACTTATGGCGGTCTTCCGCATTGTCAATCTTCTCGGGATCAGTTCCAAGGACATTAACGTTGTTCTGCTTGAGTCGCAAGGCAATATTTTGCGGCAATTGACCTGCAATGACTGAGTAAAACATGCTGCGTACAGAAACTCGAAAGCCATTTACCTCCGACGCTGACAATCACACCCTGCGCCTGCTCCAGTTCGTAAATGTCCATGACTCGTTCATACCCCAGTTCCTCGAAATACAGCCTGTCTGCCTCATCGAAATCCGTGGACACTGTCTCAGGGTTATAGTTGACCATAATTGTCCTCTGGCCCATCTCGCGTAGTTTCCGCGCGCAGGTCACCGCACACCAATCGAACTCGACACTGCTGCCAATGCGATAGACACCACTGCCAAGGACCATTGTACCGTGCTCGTCGAAAGTAACGTCATGCTCAGACGCGTTATATGTCGTATAAAGGTAATTAGTGTGCGCTGGGTATTCGGCTGCGAGGGTGTCGATGCGTTTGACGAATGGAGTAATGCCGAGGGATTTGCGGTGAGCTCGCACGGCGTCTTCGCGAGAGGACACAAGATCAGCGATGTGAGGGTCAGAGAAACCCATACGCTTCGCACGCTGCATCAGTTCGTGGTCGATCTTCTCCAATGAACCGACTTCCTTTAGGGCATACACCGTCTGAACAATGTTATCAATCTTGTACAAAAACCACTATTACAAGAAAGCACTAGTCAGCAGCCATTATGCAGTAAGGAGTCAGCACAAGATACCTTGTCAATCTTCGTCAGGTCATGAATCCGGTCGACCGTGTACTTCTTGTTGAAGATCGCATACGCAATGGCAAACAAGCGCATGTCTGTCGGATGAGATAAAGCTCGGTCTAGATCTTCCGGTTGTATATATGCCTCGAAGCCCTTCCAACGTGGGTCGACCTGGCGAATGGCCTTCTGCAGACTCTCCTCAAAGGTACGTCCAATGGCCATGACCTCACCAACCGACTTCATTGCTGAACCGACCTCACGGTTCACTTGAGCGGAGAACTTCGCAAGGTCCCACTTCGGAATCTTGGTAACGATATAATCCAAAGAAGGCTCAAAGCACGCCGTGGTAGTTTTCGTGACCGCGTTCGGAAGCTCCGGCAGAGTGTGTCCGAGTGCGATTTTGGCTGCTGTATATGCTAGCGGGTAACCAGTTGCCTTCGATGCCAATGCACTAACATTTGACAAATTGAGCAGCGAGCAGACAAAAAGTATGCGCACAAATACCTAGAACGACTTAACCGAGCGTTGACCTCGATCACACAGTACTCCCTGGACGTAGGATTGAGAGCGTACTGAATGTTACACTCACCCACCACACCAAGATGACGAATGACCTTAAGAGCGGCAGAACGGAGCATATGATATTCATCATCTGGCAAAGTCTGAGACGGTGCGACGACGATCGAGTCACCTGTATGTGTACCGAGGGGATCGAAATTCTCCATATTGCAGCAGATGATGGTGTTCTGTATGCCACACGATCAAAGACTCAGCATGCACGCGAATATGAAGCAGGACATTAACATACGTCAGCAGCATCGCGAACGACCTCGTACTCAAGTTCTTTCCAGCCGCGCATACTCCTTTCGATCAAGACTTGGGGACTGAGACTTAAACTCTTCGCCGATAGATCCCGAAGTTCCTCTGGATTGTTTGCAAAACCAGAACCAAGACCACCAAGAGTAAATGCGGATCGAAGAATAACTGGATAACCGATCCGCTCCGCTGCAGCGAGAGCATCATTCACCGAAGAAACAGCCGTAGATTGCGCAACAGGAATATCAATCTCTGGGGGAAAATCGTGTCAATTTTTTTCTCTCTAAGTATGAAAAAGATGAATCAGGGTCGAATTGCAGATAATATAAGTGTTGAGCGAATCAATGGTGTATCAATTCCATCAGGCTGGATCTGAGTATTTGTAACCTCACAACGTCACGAATCCGACTGTCGATAATCTAGGCATGGAAGAAGCACAAAATTCATGCTAAGTAGCGGTAGCCAGATGCGAAATTAATGCTCGAGTCTAGAGTTGACCTTGTGTTGATCACGTGACATGGATACCATGCCAAATAAACGTCATGAATGTCGCAAATACAGCAGTAGCGTGGAACAAACATAGAAAGAAATAGGAAATAGTTGACGCACCTTTCAGAGCTTGAACAAACAAGTCCCGATCCTCTGATACTTCCAAAGTGCGGATCGGGGTACCAAGCACCTTCACACCAAGCCGCTCCAGGATGCCCATTTTGTCTAGCTCGATGCCGACATTAAGTGCACTTTGACCACCAAAAGTAAGCAAGATTCCATCAGGCCGTTCTTTTTCCAAGACGTATGCAACATAATCCGGGGTGATGGGCAAGAAGTACACTTCCGAGGCCAGCTGATGCGATGTCTGCCACGTCGCGATATTTGGGTTGATCAGGACAGCGTCGATACCCTCCTCGCGCAGAGCCTTGAGTGCCTGAGAACCAGAGTAGTCGAATTCGCCCGCCTGCCCGATACTAAGGCCACCGCTACCGACGATCAGCACCTTGCGCACATCAGGACGCGGGATCTTGGGTAACACTTTCGCGGAGATTTTTCGTGCGAGTTCAGATGGTGAGTTCAGAACATGGTCTCCCTCTTGTTGACCATATGAGCCAACAGCAGCGCGTGCGACTGCGTGAGCTGGCTTGGTAGGGGTTGGAGCGCAGCGAAGGCGAGAGACATGGAAGAACCGCGAGTATCGAGCGTGTCGATGGACCTGGGCGATGCCCCAGACTTGCTGCAGTCGTAGAGGGCTCATCCTCTGAGAGGGGAAGGCCACAGCGCAGAGACTGCAGATGACACGCTGAAGGATGACTCGAATTAAGTATGACCTCGTCGAAATTTTGAGACGCTGGTAGCTTGCCTGTGGGAACGTTACATAAGCGCCTAAATTGAATTTAATTGAGCTTAAATATTTTATTTTCGCAAATCTAATTGGTGTGGGGCTGA